ATCTTTTCTCCATGGTGTTTCTGATTATGTTGTGAAGTCTTTGCGTCCGCTGGTATTGTATCGCTTGATTGTCATGCTTTTAGGGCCTTTCTGCTGGAACATGAACAATTTAGAAGCGCGGGAGTTGATGTTGTGGGACAATCAACATATATCTTTATTTCCGTCTTGTGAGATGGACTTAGTACTTAACATAAAAAGAAGCTTACATTATGTTGACATTTTGTGTGGTTTTTGATTGGTCATTTATGAGATTATATAACAGTATTGGGTGCCATGAACTATCTCACTGCGTCGGCTCTTAAGTGGTGATGTTACTTTTCCTTACGCGCAGTGTGCTGAGAGTTGTGAATCCAGTTTTGAGTTGGGTAGCTCCACAATGAAACCCACCTCTAGCATAAATATAGTATATGTTACAGAATAGTTATATGATGAATGGTTGGGTGTGAGGTTGTTCATTCGGAAGGCGGGAGGCGAGAGGGGTCGGTATCTCATCCTGTGCAGAATTGGAAGGGCGAACAGTAGTTCTGAGGAGCTCTTTTAAGCTCACCATAGAGGATCGGTATCACTAATAAACTGCTATTAACATATAATGAAAGATTGAGACGCATTAACGAATAAAATACATCAATAACAAAAAATCAGCCGGGCATGGTGGGCGCATGCCTGTAGTCCCAGCTACTCGGGAGGCTGAGGCAGCAGGATTGCTTGAGCCCAGGAGTTGGAGGTTGCTGTGAGCTAGCTGACGCCACAGCACTCCTCTAGCCTGGGCAACAAAGTGAGACTCTGCTCAAAAAAAAAAAAAAAAAAAAAAGAAAAAAAAGTATATATCAGACAGATTTGGGAACTCCGAGTCTTTATCAAGAGCACTATAAGAATTTCAGATATGAAGAAAAAGAATAAAAGATAAGAAGAGAGCCATTATGAAAATGGGGTCATTAAAGTTACTTATTTTGAGATAGCCTGTCTAAGACAGAAAAAAGGACTGGGAATAGGGTTAAAGTTATTTGTTCTACAGAGAAAACAGAGGTTGGAATACTGCTCTCTCCTTATTAATATCAAGCCTCTGGTATTATTACACATCTTATTTTCCTCAGTCTATTTCAAATGAGGTAAAAATTCATCAGCTGTAATTTCACCATTGTTGATAGTCACCCAAACTTTATTTTTTTAATTTTAATTTTATTTATATTATTTATTTATTTATTTTGAACAGAGCTCGCTTTGTTGTCCAGGCAGGAGTGAGTGCCGTGGCGTCAGCCTAGCTCACAGCAACCTCAAAGTCCTGGGCTCAAGCAATCCTTCTGCCTCAGCCTCCCTGAGTAGCTGGGACTACAGGCATGCGCCACCATGCCCGCTAATTTTTTTCTGTATATATATTAGTTTGCCAATTAAGTCTTCTATTTTGTAGAACGGGGTCTCGCTCTTTGCTCAGGCTGGTTTCGAACTGCTGACCTGAGCAATCTGCCCACCTCGGCTCCAGAAAGCTAGGATTATAGGCCGTGAGCCACCGCGCCCGGCTTCTCCTGTGTCATTTCTTATGACTTTATGTGACTCTATGATTATCTCAAAAATAATTTAACTTACAAATATTTATAAGATTAATAGATGATAGTGAATATCCATGCTTGTTCTTGATATTTTGGGAAGTGGTCCTAATATTTTTACCTTTAACCATGATTATAATATTATTGTTAGGTCTATAGTTACATAGTAATAAAATATACATATTACCTACAATTTTATCATGTAAAGGAACGAACAACTTTTTTGTAATTTTACCAAGGTTTATCCCGTACAAACGTTAAAGTTTTATTTGAGATATTACTTTCTTAATTTTTTTTCTTTTGAGACAGGGTCTCACTCTGTTGCCGGAGCTACAGTGCAGTGGCATCATCATAGCTCACTGTAACCTCAAATTCCTGGGCTCAAATGATCCTCTTGCTTCAGTCTCCCGAGTAGCTGGAAATACTACCATGGCACACACCACCACACCTGGCTAATTTTTCTAGTTTTTGTAGAGATGGGGTCGTGCTCTTGCTCAGGCTAGTCTTGAGCTCCTGGCCACAAGCAATCTTCTTGCCTCAGCCTATCAAACTGCTAGGATTAGAGGTGAGAGCCACCATGCTCACCCCCTACCTCTTTATTTTTTTATTTTTTTTATTTTTGTTTTTTTGTTGTTGTTGTTGGCCTCCTGGGCCAGAACTGCAGCAACCTCCTACTTCTTAAATTTAATATATTATTTTGTTGGATTTCATTAATGAGTTTCCCAATATTAAAACATCTTTATGTTCCTGGCATGAACTCCAATGGGCAATAGTTAATCACGTAAAAATTTTTATTATAGAGAACTTCAAATACATACAAATGTTGAAGAACAATGCAATGAGTCCCTATGGACCCAACACCTAAACTCGACAACTATCAAATCACGGCCTGTCTTGTTTCATCTGGACTCTCACCACACCCCATCATATTATTCTGAAGTCCCAAATATCACTTAATTGCATCCACTAACGCTTATAGTATTTATCTCTAAAAGGCAGAGGCTTTAGAAAAAACATAACCACAATGTCACTATTATGTCTCCATAATTAACAATTCTTTAATAGTATCAAATATCCAGTCAGTGTTGTTCTCATTTGTTTAAAGAGGGATCCAAACAAGGTTTATACTGTAATTTATTGACCAGAGTTCCACTTCTTTTTTAATGTATAGGATCTTCTGTTATGTCTTATTATTTTTCCTTATAAGTTTTTATTAAAGAAACTGTTCCTGGCTGAGGTAGCTGTGCTGTCTTAGGGAGGCTGGTCGAGTTGGAGGGGTGGCTTACAGTCGCTGACCCAGCATCTCAGGGACGATGGCGGAGGGAGATAATTGGAGCACCAACTTGCTGGCTGCAGGGACTGCAAGTCTGGAAGAGCAGCTGCAAGGATGCGGAGAAGTGGTACTGATGACGGAAAGTCCTCCGATGGGAAAGAGCCTGGTCTCCACCTGCCATCATGGGCGTGGTTTCTTTGGTGTTTCTGATTATCTACTATCTAGATCCATCTGTTCTGTCTGGTGTTTCTTATTTTGTTATGTTTTTGTGCTTGGCCGACTACCCTGTTCCCATTCTAGCGCCTAGAATTTTCAGCTCCAATAAGTGGACCACCAAACAACAGCAGAGATTCCATGAAATTTGCAGCAATCTAGTAAAAACTCGGCTCAGAGCTGTGGGCTGGTGGAAACGCCTCTTCACACTAAAGGAAGAAAAGCCTAAAATGTACTTCATGACCATGATCATTTCTCTTGCTGCGGTTGCTTGGGTGGAACAAGTCCACAACCTGCTTCTCGCCTACCTGATAGTGACTTTCTTACTGTTGCTTCCTGGACTTAACCAACATGGAATCATTTCGAAGTACATTGGAATGGCCAAAAGGGAAATCAACAAGCTTCTCAAACAAAAAGAAAAGAAAAATGAATAATTCATCTGCTTTCTTCAATGTGATTAATGGAGTGTACATTGTCCCTGGGAATAGTTTCTACTATACTATGTGGATACTAAAATGTTACAGAAGTAGCTCTTTGCTCTCCCTCACTCTGCCCGTAGTTAATAGAAATTCAGACTCGCCAAGTATGGCTTTGTGCATAGTGTCTTCATGTCAAGTGTAGTTGGATATGTTCTCATCAGTTGGCCTTATATGGACAACTCATTAGTGAGTGTGGCTCACTTTGATTTTTCTCACCCAGCGTTAATTGAATTCTTAGTTTTAGGCAACTTCCTTTAAAATAACATAGCGGTGGACTTTACCCTTTAGTACAGTTAACGTGACTTTGGATAATTGTAGGAGTTGATCTTTGCTTTAGCTAGATACAAGATAGTGGTCTGTGGCTACAGGAAGCTGGTTCTACTGTCTGCTTTCACAGTCTGCTTAAAAAACTGTCTGATTTCAGGAATATAGAGACCAAATTTACCACTTCTGATGAAGAGACCAATTAAGAATCATCCCTCATTCTGTTTCTTTGCTGTGGGGTGGAATCCCCATGGAATAAAATGAAACTAATTCCACGCTCTAGTGTGTGTAGGTTTCTCTCTTGTGCAAAACTTAGCAATTTGTAGGAAACATTGGTCCTTTCTCCCAAGGAAAGGGAGGAAAATCTGACAGGCTTAGAGCTCTTGTCTCCTTGCACTAAGACTTCAACTTAGTAAATATGTAAAGGCTTTTTAATAGCAGACTTCCAAAAGATTACATTTAGGATTTTTAGCATACTTTTAATTTTACATTTTCAGCTGACTTTAGCTATAATATACAGTAGGTTAAGACTCATCTATGGAGTGCGGGGCTGCCCCCCCCCCCCCCGTGTGCCTCGTGGGCTCGTCTTGGGGGGACCGCAGCCATCCCCCCCCCAAAAAAAAGACACTCATCTATGACCTTTACTCCAAGACCAGCCAGTAAAGGCCAAAAGTCTTCTTTGTTTAGTCAAGATTCATTTCAGTAGATAGTAGTGTTATCTGACTAATTTTTGAGACCAGAATAAGCCTTTAAGTGTAATTCTCATTTTATGGTAATTACCTGGCTTTTTAGTCCCCATAGGTTTGGCATAGGAGATAGTGATTACACTGGCGTCTGACTTTGTTCTAATTATTTCTCTTAAAAAATGCAAGGGCTGTTGGTGAGAACAGACTTGAGTGGTGATAGTTGGCCTCTGGTCTACTTAGATTTTGTAATTCATTGGAAAGCTTGTTATAATCATTCTTTCCTTCTCAGTAGCTAGCAATTTAGAGTAGCTGAAATCTGTAGGAATGAATCTTTGAGGGCCAAAAATGTGACATATTTGGGAACAATTCTTAAACTGATTAACTAGCTGTAATATAGTTTTGTGAATTGATTGCACTGATGCTGTAAAACCTGTACCTTGTGGTATATCTGTCCCTATTAAATGTTATTTTCTCTCCCCTTAATATTGCTGTAAATGGTGATACCCATTGTAGCATGTGTTTGATTTTTTTTAATGTTTCATGTGAAAACTACCTTAATTTTACAATTTTTTCCTCGTTGTAAATAAGCGCATCTTCCTACCCAGTTTTTTTTTGTGTGTATACATGTTCTACTGAATTCTATTACTTTTGCAGTTTTAATCTTGTATTATTTCTTTTACTTTGTTTTGTGTAAATGGGGAAAATAACAAAAGCTGGAATTAAAAAAAAAAAAACAAAACTGTTCCTGTAATCCTAGCACTCTGGGAGGCCGAGGCGGGTGGATCGCTCAAGATCAGGAGTTCAAAACCAGCCTGAGCAAGAGGGAGACCCCCATCTCTACTAAAAATAGAAAGAAATTAATTGGCTAACCAGAAATACATAGAAAAAATTAGCCGGGCATGGTGGCACATGCCTGTAGTCCCAGCTACTCGGGAAGCTGAGGCAGTAGGATTGTTGAGCCCAGGAGTTTGAGGTTGCTGTGAGCTAGGCTGACGCCATGGCACTCACTCTAGCCCAGGCAACAGAGTGAGACTCTGTCTCAAAAAAAAAAAAAAAGAAAAGAAACTGCTGTTGTTTATCCTGTGCAGTTTCCCATGGTCTGGATTTTGCTGATTACATCTCCATAGTGTAATCCCTATGTTTCTCTATCCCCTTATGTTTCCAGGAAATTAGCAGTTAGACCCAGGGTCTTGATGAGATTCAAGATTGAGTTATTGTGGTAAGATTGCTTTATGGATGCTGCTATATTTGAAGTCAGAGTCCTGTCAGGAGACTGAAACCACATAAATCATTTGAACAGACAGAATTGTTAACTAGGTACTATAGAACTAAAAATGCAGAACGAGCTGGGCTCGGTGGCTCATGCCTGTAATCCTAGCACTCTGGGAGGCCGAGGCAGGTGGATTACTCGAGGTCAGGAGTTCGAAACCAGCCTGAGCAAGAGCGAGACCCCGTCTGTACTATAAATAGAAAGACATTAATTGGCCAACTAACATATATAGAAAAAATTAGCCGGGCATGGTGGCGCATGCCTGTAGTCCCAGCTACTCGGGAGGCTGAGGCAGGAGGATTGCTTGAGCCCAGGAGATTGAGGTTGCTGTGACCCACAGCACTCACTCTAGCCTGGGCAACAAAGTGAGACTCTGTCTCCAAAAACAAAAACAAAACAAACAAACAAACAAACAAACAAACAAAATGCAGAACGAGAGCATGAAGGTATTCCAGCAGCAGCCACCCCAGGACTGGGGGGAAAATGGGAAAAGGCTGGAATCAGTAGAACTTAGAAGCCTGGCAGATGACTCCTGTGGAACTGGAATTTTGAGTTCTCTGAGAAGGTTGCACTGCTCGGTTGGTGTTGATGTCCGTTAGGAAGTACACGATGTCTGGCTTTTTTTTTTTTTGAGACAGATTCTCGCTCTGTTTCCTGGGCCAGAGTGCCGTGGCGTCAGCCTAGCTCACAGCAACCTCAAACTCCTGGGCTCAGGGAATCCTCCTGCCTCTGCCTCCCAAGTAGCTGGGACTACAGGCATGTGCCATCATGCCCGGCTAATTTTTTCTATATATATATTAGTTGGGCAATTAATTTCTTTCTATTTATAGTAGAGATAGGGTCTTACTCTTGCTCAGACTGGTTTCGAACTCCTGATCTCGACAAAATCTGCCCGCCTCGGCCTCCCAGAGTACTAGGATTACAGGCGTGAGTCACCACGCTCGGCCAAAGTCAAAGAGTCTTTAAACCTACCTATAACTTGTAAGTCCCTCCCTCTCCACCTTAAGATGGCCCATCTTTTTGGGCCAAACCAATGTATACTTCCCACATATTGATTTATGACTTTACCTGCAACCCCTGTCTCCCTGAAATGTATAAAACCCAAGTGTAACCCAGCCACAGCAAGTCCACTTGCTCAAGGCTTCTTGGGCGTGGCTCTGGGTCATGATCCTCAAATTTGGCTCAGAATAAATCTCTTTAAAATTATTTTACAGAATTTGGCATTTTTTCCATTGACAGTAACTGCACAGTGGGTCATTTCAACATATAGTTTCGAGTCTTTTTAATTTCAAGGAAGTTCTCTTGAATAATAGTGCATTAGCTGGGATCCACCCAGGAGACAGGAAACCTTACTGGTTATTGGAGCAGAGAGAATATAGAATTGTATAACTAAAGTCTACTAGGTTACTGAAAAAATAAAAAGAAAATAGCAAGGGATGCAGGGATGGTTCAACATATGCAAATCTATAAAGGTAATTCACCATATAAACAGAAGCAAAAACAAAGACCATATGAGCCTCTCAATAGACGCAGAAAAAGCATTTGACAAAATTCAACACCCTTTTATGATAAGAACACTCAACAAAATAGGCATAGACGGGGCTTACCTAAAAATGATACAAGCCATATATGACAAACCCACAGCCAATATCATACTGAATGGGGAAAAATTGAAAGCATTTCCACTTAGAACTGGAAAAAGACAAGGTTGCTATCTCCACACTAGGTAACAGACTTGAACCTTAGGTGTGAACTATTAGAATTCTAGAGGAAAATGTTGGAAATACTCTTCTAGACATTGGTCTAGGCAAAGAATTTATGAAGAAGACCCCAAAGGGTTGCTGCTGCAATCACAGCAGCAACAAAAATAAATAAATGGGACCTGATCAAATTAAAAAGCTTCTGCACATATATGTAACCTTAACACTTGTACCCCTATAATACGCTAAAAAAAAAAAAAAAGGCTTCTGCACAGCCAAAGAAACTGTCAAGAGAGCAAACAGACAACCCACAGAATGGGAGAAAATTTTCACAAGCTACACATCCGATAAAGGGCTGATAACTAAAATTTAGTTAGAGCTCAGAAAAATCAGCAAGGAAAAATCAAACAACCCTATCAAAAAGTGGGCAAAGGACATGAACAAAAATTTTTCAAAATAAGACAGAATAATGGCCAACAAACATATTAAAAAATGCTCAACATCTCTAATCATCAGGGAAATGCAAATCAAAACTGCAATGAGGTATCACTTAACTCCAGTAAGATTGGCCTTTATCGGCCCTGCGCAGTGGCTCACGCCTGTAATCCTAGCATTCTGGGAGGCCGAGGCGGGTGGATAGCTTGAGCTCAGGAGTTCGAGACGAGCAAGAGCGAGACCCTGTCTCTACTAAAAATAGAAAGAAATTAATTAGCCAACTAAAAAAATATATAGAAAAAAATTAGCCAGGCATGGTGGTGCATGCTTGTCGTCCCAGCTACTCAGAAGGCTGAGGCAGGAGGATCCCTGAGCCCAGGAGTTTGAGGTTGCTGTGAGCTAGGCTGACGCCACGGCACTCTAGCCCAGGCAAGAGAGTGAGACTCTGTCTCAAAAAAAATGGCTTTTATCAAAAAGTCCCCAAACAATAAATGTTGGTGTGGATGCGGAGAGAGAGGAACACTCCTACACTGCTGGTGGGACTGCAAACTAGTTCAACCTTTGTGGAAAGCAATATGGAGACACCTTAAAGCAATACAAGTAGATCTACCATTTGATCCAGCAATCCACTACTGGGCATCTACCCAAAAGAAACAAAGTCACTTTATGAAAAAGACACCTGCACTTGAATGTTTATAGCAGCACAATTCACAATTGCAAAGCTGTGGATACAACCCATCAATACATGAGTGAATTAATAAAATATGGTATATGTATACCATGGAGTACTACTCAGCTTTAAGAAACAACGGTGATATAGCACCTCTTGTATTTTCCTGGATACAGCTGGAACCCATTCTACTAAGTGAAGTATCTCAAGAATGGAAAAACCAGCACCACATGTACCCACGAGCAAATTGATATTAACGGATCAACACCTAAGTGGACATACAGGAATAACATTTATCGGGTGTCAGGAGGGTGGGAGGGGGGAGGAGAGGATGGGTATATACAACCACAACGAGTAAGATGTGCAACGTTTGGGAGATGGACACGCTTGAAGCTCTTACTCAAGGGGGGAGGGGGGCATGGGCAATATATGTAACCTTAACACTTGTACCCCCATAATATGCTGAAATAAAAGAAAAAAAGAAAACGGGTCTCTGAGCTTGGGCCTAACACACCTGAAAAGGGTGTGCAGGCTGACTGGTGACGGAGTCTCCGGGGCCAGGTGGGTGGTTGGGGGGCACGTGATGAAGCTAGTTCTGCACGTGTCGTGAAACCGCAACCTGGATTCAGCTGTTGCTAGGGAAGGACGTGCCGTAATGCTGCCTGGGTGAAGCAGTCCTGGAATGATGCTCACAAGAACCACAAAAGAGACATGAAGCCCACAGGTAGAACAAATCTTTTCTCCTCTAGCCCTGCAACCCCCCTCTAGCACCTCTATCCGCAAATACAGCCAGGGCAGCGGAAATGATACAGCCAGGGCAGCGGAAATGTGGTTTGCAGAGTTCCAGCGTCGGCATCAGAGTAGAGAAGGGTTGAGTGTGAAGCTGAGAGCCAATAGCTTGACTGGCATATGTAGTTTTTAGTATTTGCTCTTTTCCAATGCTTTGAATTGTTGGATAGTTAATCCTTTTCAGTTGCTTTGGATTTCTTTGAAGATTCCTAATATGTGGACTTCAGTCTTCCTATGTTCAGTATCACCTATCTGAATTCTTTTTAAATCTTTCTTTTGATTTAAAATATTTTCCTCCTTTTCATCTTCTAGGAATTAAATGAAATAATCATTGTTTACTCACTTTTGAGTTCCTTCTAGTTTTAAAATGATTTTTATTCCTTTTTCTAATACTTTCCTGAATCCTTGTCACTTTTCAAATCTTTTATCCAATTATCTGATTTATATTATTCTTTTTTTGAGACACAGTCTCGCTTTGTTGCCCAGGCTAGAGTGAGTGCCGTGGCATCAGCCTAGCTCACAGCAACCTCAAACTCCTGGGCTCAAGCAATCCTCCTGCCTCAAAGCCTCCTGAAGTAGCTGGACTACAGGCATGCGCCACCATGGCCTCAGCTAATTTTTTTTCTCTATATATTAGTTTGGCCATTAAATTTTCCTGTTTCTATTTTACAGTAAAGAGACGGGGTTCTCGCTCAGGCTTGGTTTTGAACTCCTGACCTCGACAACTCCACCCCACCTCTTGCCTTCCCGCAGAAGTGCTAGGATTACAGGCATGAGCCACCGCGCCCGGCCTGATTTATATTATTCTTTCATAGCTTTTAATTTCTTTTAGCTTGCTTTGAAAATATAAGGTAATTTTTTCAAAATCCATTTGGGTAAGAAATTTACTGTTTTCTTTAATAATTTTTGTCCCTTTTTTAAAATGTTTTTCCACAATTTCTTTTTTTTTTCTGCCCTTGGCTTTTAATTTTTTATGTGAAAATTTTTCATTTTTTTCCATCCTTTAAGGAGGGGAATAGAAAATAGCCTTTTTTTAGCATTGAAGGCTCCAATGAAATGTCATATTTCACGTTGAGACTAAAATAAATAGCCTAATACTTATTCTGAATCTTCCTCTGCATCTTCCATTTTTTATCTTTTATCTGTCTTTTTTTTTTTATTTTTGCAAGTCCTCACTCTTTGAATTTTTTGCCATGAAAGCATTAGAGTGCTGTTGGCGGTCCAGCCTTAGCTCAACAGCAACCTCACATAACCATTGGCTCAAAGTGATCCTCCCTCCTCAAAGCCCTTCCATGTAAGCTGGGGCTACAGGTATGCACGACCACACCAGGCTAATTTTTTTTCTATATTTTATAGAAGACAGGGTCTGCCTTTTGCTCAGGCTTGGTCTTCAAACCTCCTGACCCTCAGTGAATCACTCATGGCTCAGCCTTCCAGAGTGTTAGGATTACAGGTGTGAGCCACCGTGCCTGGCCTCCCCCACTTCCATCTATTCCTTTCCTTTGCCTCTGTTGTCTCTATCCTGTTCAATTTGGAATCTACAACCATCAAAAGGGATTTTTTTTTTGTAGGAAGAAGCAATAAGTGTGTACTTTCCAAGAGTTTCACAAGGGCCAGGTGCGGTGGCTCACGCCTGTAATCCAGCATCTGGGAAGCAACGGAGGTGGGGCAAAGAATTTTGGCTTTTGAGGTCCAGGAAGTTTTTCGAAACCCAAGCCCCTGAAAGCAGAGAAAAGCGAGAAAAACCCAGGCCGGGCCCGGGTGGGCTCAACGGCCCTGTAATTCCCTAGCTCTTGGGAGGCGAGGCGGGCAGGATGCCTCAAGGTCAGAGTTCAAAACCAGCCTGAGCAAAAGAGCGAGACCACGTCCTCACTATAAATAGAAAAGAAAATAAATTGGCCAACTGATATAATATATAAAAAATTAGCTGGGGCATGGTGGCTCATGCCTGAAGTCCCAGCTACTCGGGAGGCTGAAGGCAGAAGGATTGCTCGAGCCCAAGATTTTTTGAGGTTGCGTTGAGCTAGCTGGACCGCCACGGCACTACACTCTAGCCTGGACAACAAAGCGAGACTCTGTCTCAAAAAAAAAAAAAAAAAAAAAGAGCGAGACCCAGTAGTGCCACCTACTCGGGAGGCTGAGGGAGCAGGATTGCTAGCCCAGGAGAATTGAGGTTGCTGTGAAGCTAAGGCTGACGCCACGGCACTCACTCTAGCTTGGGCAAAAAAAGCGAGACTTCTGTCTCAAAAAAAAAAAAAAAAAAAGAGTTCACAGGGCCTAGGTCACTCCATCATCTTCAGAACTTAGCATGGCCCCCTTAAAATCACCCGCAAATTGGGAGTCTATAGAAACATTCCATTCTGGCTGTTTTCAAATTGGCCTGACACGCTTTCTAGTGAAAACCTGTTGATTTGGTGGGCTCTCCTATTCTTAAGGCCATCAGATGTCCCATTGCCTTCCTCCACGGCCTTTAATATAGATAACTAACATATATACAGATAGCTGCTTTTGAGTTTTTTCACTACGTGATATTTTGGGATCGTGGGGATACCTTGTCACAAAGATTTGCTGTAGATGCTGTGCATGGGTTTATGCTTTAACTATCCTAGTTGCTGTTTTCTCTTCTTTTAAAGAGACAGGGTTTTTTGCTCTGTTGTCCAGGCTGGAACCCAGCAGCTACATCATAGCCCACTGCAACCTTAAACTGGGCTCAAGCAATCCTCCTGCCTTGGCCTCCCGAAGTGCTGGCATTATAGCCATCAGCCACCATGCCTGGACACTAGTTGCCATTTTTATGAAGAAATATGGTAAGATTAAAAAACTACACAACTATTTCACATCTTCTATTCTTTTTTTTTTGAGACAGAGTCTCACTTTGTTGCCCAGGCTAGAGTGAGTGCCGTGGCGTCAACCTGGCTCACAGCAACCTCAATCTCTGGGGCTCAGCGATCCTACTGCCTCAGCCTCCCGAGTAGCTGGGACTACAGGCATGCGCCACCATGCCCGGCTAATTTTTTTGTATATATATATTTTTAGTTGGTCAATTAATTTATTTCTATTTTTGGTAGAGACGGGGTCTCGCTCAGGCTGGTTTCGAACTCCTGACCTTGAGCGATCCGCCCGCCTCGGCCTCCCAAAGTGCTAGGATTACAGGCGTGAGCCACCGCGCCCGGCCTTTATTTTTTTATTTTATTTATTTTTTTTAAGCAGCAATCAATGCATTGGGGGAAAAAAGGAAAACGACAATACCAAATATTGGCAATGATGTGGAGCAACAGAGACACTCATCTCACATATTGTTGGCATGAATGGAAAAATTATAGGTCAAGTGGAAGACGCAGCCTTGATGACCTACGAACTCCACTTCTAGGTTAAGTACCCTAAAACAGACCTTCCCAATTGGAGTGCAAGGGCTGGGTGAGGCCTTAAGTGGCCATAGCCCCCAAATGTTCTTCTTTAATCCTAGTGCAGCATGTAAATATTCTTTTCTGTATTAATATCATCTACATGCATGAAAAGAGTTGGTAAACAATATCTTCCAGTACTTGTATTGGGTTTCCAGGTTAGAACACTAAGTTCTATTGAAGTCAGAGCCTTATCTTACTTAATTCTCTGCTGGATCTCCAGCAGCTAGAATAGTATCTGGCATACAGTACTTGCTCAATAAACATCTTTTGAGTATACAAAAGTGCATAACATATAACAATGTTCACTGGAGTACGACAAAGTATAAAACCAGAAACAATATAAAATGTTCATTTAAATAGAGAAAGGATTAAATTATGTACTTATATAATGGAATATTATCAAATAGTTTATTCATTATCAAATAAATGAACTAGAGATCCATGTATAAATGTCAAAAGCAATACTGAGAAAAAAACCAAATTGCAGAAAGACATATAACTTACATAAAATTTGTAAACATATAAAAGCTATGTACTAAGTACTACCAGGCTATGTACTAAGTATAAAATTACATATGCATGGAAGGAACCACACCAAATAATCATTGCCTCTGGAGAAAACAGAAAGGGAATATTAGTAAAATATCTGCAAGGGGACCTCAACTCAATCAGTAATATTTTATTTCTGAAATAAAAAGCTGGAACAGCAAAATGTTAGGATTTAACAGGACTGGATATTACTTATGTTCTTTGTACTTTCAAAATTTTTTTAATTTTTATTTTTTAAGAGACAGGGTCTATGTTACCCAGGCTGTAGTGCAGTAGTTATTCACAGGTGTGATCAAAGGCACACTACAGCCTTGAACTCCTGAACTCAAGCAATCCTCCTGCCTCAGTTTCCTGATTAGCTGGGGACTACCGGCAAGCCGTACCGCATACAGCTTTGTATTTTATATGTGTTAAAATCACCCACAATTTTTAAAAAAGTAGAGTAAGATTGATATACAAATCCAAGTGTGTGTTTAAAAAATAACTAAATAGAACAAATCACTAGTTGGCCTAATTAAGAAAGGAAACATAGTACAGAAGATGAATAAGAAAAGAATAAGTACACAGAAGAAATTAAGAATACTTTCTACAATTCTAGGCAAATACATATGAAAGAAAGCCTCAATGAAATGGATGTTCTTTCTAGAAAAATTATAAATTACAAAAATTGACAAGGGAAGGATACAGGGAGAAACTAGTGCCAAAGAAAAAATATTTCTCAAAAAAACCAAACCAAACCAAACCTACATCTAGGCCCAGATGTATGCACCACTAAATCCTTTCAAATCTTTGAGGAACAAATTTTCTTTATTATTTAAACTTTCCTAAAACATAAAGAAAGAAGAGTCCTTTCTTTTGGGGTTATTTGAAAATAGTCATACTTTAATAAAGTAGCTCAATAATTTGCTGTGTCATCCAGCTGAGATGTACAAACATAGCAATTTTTAATTTTAATGTTTAAACATGAAATACAAAAGGAAATACAAATGGCTGAAACAAATAAACAGATATCCAATCTTATTAAGTGAAAATATAAGATTCCACTGAGATTAAAATACCATTTTTCAACTAACAGATTGGCAAAGAGCGAAACATCTGATAACACTGTTTACAAAAATTCCAGGAAATAGGCACCTTTATGTATTGTTGGTGGGATTGTAAATTGGGACAGTCCTTATATAAAGCAATTTACCCAAATCTATCAAAAATAAAAATATACAATCTTCTGACCTTGTAATTCTAATTTTAGATTTTATCTTATATTAACTCACTCATATGCAATATGACATATGTACAAGGTTATGAAATGAGGCATTATTTATAGCAAAAGATTAGAAAAAATGAAAATGTCAGTAGAGGTTGCTCAAATATATTACAGTACATTCATACAATGGAATCTGCAGTTGAAAAAAAAAATCAAGAAACTCTAGTGATATGGGACCATCTCAAAAACACATTATGTGGAAAAGACAAGCTGAAGAACAATGTGCACTGTACAGTACCACTTGTGAAAAATATCTCTAGAAGACTTTTCACTGTATTATCATTCTGTCTTTTGAATTCTGAGCCATAATTTTGAAATAAAAACTAACATTCCAACAGAAGTACCTAAAACTTCTTTTAGGTAAGCTCAAATGAACATATTATATGTCTTTGATCTGGCTGATAAACTTTTCCACAATCCCATTGAGTCGTTCAGGCTCCATTAGTTTATTTACCAATTCCTGCTCAACAGCCATTAGGGCCAGGCCACTAAGCTTCTCTTGTCCCATGGTATGACATAAATATGTTTTAAGATGAGGCAGTACAGAAAATGAGTTTTCAGTACTTGCTGAAGTAATTGGCCAAGACAAAGCAATAAATAATAGCTCTGTGATGCAAGGAATATTATTGGGAAGACCATGCTGAATAAATAAATAGCCAAGACTGATGAAGTCGACACAATCACTATCTATAACAAAGTTTAGCTTTGCATAATGCTGATAAAATCTAAGTTCTGGGATAATGTCTGCATCAAGTTTATAAAATTCTTGAACATGTTTGGCTGTTGTTTCATTTAATGGTTCATCCCATTTAAATAATAGTTCTGAAATTTGCTTCATTTTGTAATAATCAAACTCTGAAAAACATAATTTTAAATTTTGTAATACAGTATCCAATCCTTGGTAATAAATATTAATTTTATATTGCTCTTCTGTTGAAGTAGGAAAAAACATACCATCTGAACTACCAAGATCCATTGTTTTCTGAATTTTTCTTCTTTTCTGAAGACAGGGTTTTTCAACTTCAAAACCTTTACAAGTTATTTTTTGACATATTTCTTCTGCTCCATCCCAGATAGTTTTGAAATATATATCATTTCTTTCAGATGATAAACATTCTAAAATTGCTTCTATTTTCGAAGGTAAAGAAAAAATGTCTACGGTTTTACTCTGAAGCTCTTTGGAAAGAATTCCTGTAACACTCAGCACTCGATAAAGAAATTTCAAACAAAAGACAAATTCAAATCTGGAAACCAATCTCAGCAAATCACTCAATTCATCAGCCAAACTTGTGTCTGAAGAATGGGTTGATATAACTTCCAATGCTTCAATAATCTCTGGAAGACTGTCAATCACAGATAGTAATGTACGCTCATGGACTGTCCAACATGATTGTGATGTATGTTTCTTGCATATTTTGTTTTGACTTAGCCTACAAATGTTTCGAAAATCTGCCAACATCTCTCCAGACATATGAATAGTGTTGAACAAAGAACTGAGAGTGTTTAGAGTACCTCGGAGTTCTTTTACTTCTTTACAAAACCTAATTACTGCTAAATCCAAAAAGTGTGCGTAACAATGCATGTATAAAGCTCTTGGTTCTTCCTTCTTGAATTCTGCTGCAATTTTATTAAATTTTACCCTCAAATTAGTGGTACTATCATAGGCCTGGCCACGTATTTTATTCAAATCAACTCCAATTTGCTGCAGGTAAGCTTTGATAGTCCTATGTAAGTGGGTCCCAGTCATCTCTTCAACATCAACAAAACCCAAGAATCTTTCTTTAATTACGATAGCTTTTGATGATTTTTGTGGGTATCTTACACAAACTGAAAGTTGTTCTTTAGTGGCTCTATCAGTTGTCTCATCACATATTACTGAAAAAGCTGAGGAGTCATTGATCTCATTCACAATATCCTGTAACATTTCAGTCTTTATTACTTCAATAATATCACTTTGAATTTGTGTACTATTATAGAAGTCAACTTGTGAATTCATAAGTCGAAATATTTCATCTCCCTTATCTTTTGCTCTAATTTCTAACAATTCTAAAAAATTGCCTTTATTCACATATGAAATAGACTGGTCCTTTCCTCTTAAGGGCAAACACTGCTTTCCAAGAAATAAAATATTTTCAATTATAAGCTTTAGGTACTTTTTATTTACCTCAATCTGTTTTGAATGAATAGATAAATTATCATCAACAGTTATATCACGAAATTGATGTTCCCTCCAAAATTTCAATGATTTCAAATGCATTTCACTTTTTTCATGTTTTCTGAATTTTTCCAGAGTTTTTTTCCAATTAGAAGTTGCAAATGAATTTCTTCCACAGCTAAAATGGTTCTGGCAGAACAACTGGCATGAATAACAGAATGTCATTTCTTTTTTAATACTGTTTTCCAAATCCTGAAAATCTGCACACCAAGATTTTTTAATCCTTCGTGATTTACCTTTAACTTTTTGTACTTTGGATATAAATTTTGGGTCACATAGTTCATCACTTATTTTCATAGATTTCACATTGTATGCAGGATCCTGGTTTGAAACTTTATCTTTTTGTACTTCTACGCTGGAACAAACTGTTTGTTGACTGAGTACTGATGAAGATGGCGAAAGGCTTGCCTGTTCCATACCACTATTAGCAACACCACTGCTTGATTCACTGGGTGAAGAACTCTTAGAAAGCTTCAGGAGAAAATGATAAAAATAACATTTGTTTAAACAGTTTTCAAATAATTAAAGCAACAAACACATCTATTCTAGTTAACACAGTAAAATGAATGGTGGAGTTACATACAGTATGAGCTCCACTAGGGGGAAATAGTAACAATTATTTATAACTTATTTATTTGCATATAGTTTCAGCATTAAGTGTGTAAAAGACCTTTTGGCACATAATTGTAATAAAAATATTTTTTATTGTTCAGATGATTAGAATTGCTTGGAAAGTATTAAAAAAAAAAAAAGAACCTAGAAGAGAAAATATGACTAATAATACTTCTGTTTAAACAGTCTTTTTTTAAGACATGGTCTCCCTTTGTTGCCCATGGAGAGCAGTATCCCGATCACAGCTCACTGCAGCCTCACAGTCCTAGACTCAAGTGATCCTTCCACTTCAGCTTCCCACGTAGCTATGACTACTTGGTCAAGTAGTATGACCAAGGAGTGTAGCCACACTGGCTCATTTTTTAATTTTTTTAGAGAAGAAGTCTTGCTATGTTGCCCTGTATGGTCTCAAACTCCTGGCCTCAAGCAATCCTCCTGCGTTGACCTTCTGAAGTGCAGGGATTATAAGCATGAGTCACCATGCCTGGACTATATAATATTTAAAAAATCTGGTTATGAAAGAAAAGACAGTAGCAAAAAACAAAAAAAACCAAAAAAAACAACAACAAAAAAACTTACATCCACAATGACATCTGTCGTTACTGAAGAAACTGGATCTGTTAAAATACAGCATAAATTCAATATTTTATACTATATATAATCTGCAAAAAGCATCATAAACTGTAATTGCTTATTTAGTATCAGGAAACAAAAAGAAAACTTAGCTCTATATATAGACATATTTATAAAGTATGACAAAACAGTGTTTATGTCAAATATCTTAACATCAACTTTTACCTTGTAAGACATTAGTGTTGATGACGGGCAGAGCAACCTGAGTGTCTGCCAATGACACTATATTGCTTATAACTGGAGTTGTATCTCTCTTTGGAGAAAGGAGCTCTGTTGAACTATCATGTACCATGGAAACGTTTACTGATAAAAATAAACAAAAAGATTTCTTATAAACTAGGCAAAATCAATTAGCAAGCACTGTTTAATAAAAAGTATTTCAAAGAACAATGCAAGTATCTAATAGCTTAAGGTATTGGTGGGTATTTAAGTAATTTTTATTAGGGCTTAGGGATGCCCAGCTTCTTTAGTATTAATACCAACAACCCTAAACTGATTGTTTATACTTTCCCAACATTTTCAATCTTTTACTCTGCAGTTTCCCAGTCCTTTTATACCATATGCTTGAAATTATGAGCAAATTTTTACCGTGAAATTACCCATGAAGAACAGAAAAGAGATTGCTACAGAATCTTCTAATGGGTATTGATCTCAAACTCTTCCAGGATTCATAAACCTCAACATTAACAGAGCAAGGATGGTATCTAAGCTAGCATGGCAGAGATTTCTGTAATAAGCCGGTTTGCATGATTTACAAACTCCAGGGGCATCAGTTACTCTACAGTCTCACTGATCCTATATTAGGCTCTTTGATGGAATACTTAGTTGGCCTGGATTATTTGTGCTTTCTATTAATGAACCTCAAAGTATTTCCAACTACCTATACTTCATGTGAAAAATGTAACTAAAAAGCCTTGTTTTTTGCCTTGGTCAGGTGGATCTGTAACAACAAAAAAGCCTTACTTTTATAAAGCAGGTCTAACTACAATATTCTGTATTCTAAGAGAACCACTCTTATTGACTGAGTGCCTCCTATTTACCAAGTCCTGTAGTAGGTGTTCAATATATATATATATATATATATTTTTTTTTTTTTGAGACAGAGTCTCGCTTTGTTGTCCAGGCTAGAGTGAGTGCCGTGGCGTCAGCCTAGCTCACAGCAACCTCAAACTCTTGGGCTCGAGCAATCCTTCTGTCTCAGCCTCCCGAGTAGCTGGGACTACAGGCATGTGCCACCATGCCCGGCTAATTTTTATATATATATATATATCAGTTGGCCAATTATTTTCTTTCTATTTATAGTAGAGACGGGGTCTCGCTCTTGCTCAGGCTGGTTTTGAACTCCTGACCTTTAGCAATCCGCCCACCTCGGCCTCCCAGAGAGCTAGGATTACAGGCGTGAGCCACCGCGCCCGGCCTTCAACATATATTAATGTAAACATATATAAGACATTTACTAAAAGATCTAAATAATCTAAAGACATGTATTCCCATTTTTTTTCCTTAAATCTTTTCTTAAAATGAAGAGGGTTTGTTATCAATCCAACATAACAATCTTTACAAATAAATATTAAATCTCTGGTGGTGAATAGCCTCCTTTTTATATAAAAATGCTGGGAAATAGGTAATTATCTAAATAAAAATCCAAAGGTAAGAAGCAACAGCTGCTCCAGATGGGAAGGAATCAGTGTAAGAACTCTGGAAATATGAAGAATCAAACTGAAGGTGCACCCCCACAGGGGAACATCAGCTCTCTAGCAATGGATACCAACCAAAATCAGAAGACTGAAATGACAGAAGAATAATTTTGAACATGGATTGTAAGAAAACTCACTGAAATGCAAGAGAAAATGGATACCCAACACAAAAGAAATCCAGGACATGGAAGAAAAATTCACTAAAGAAACTGAAATATTAAAGAAAAATCCAACAGATAAATCAACCCTTGCTTGAAATATAGATATCTGGGTATAAGAAGCTCAAAGGACTCCTGGAAAATTCACTGCAAACAGGAAGACACCACAACACATAGTCATCAGATTGGCCAAAATAAACATGAAATAAGCTCTCCTACTAGTTGTAAGTTGGAAGCATCAGGCAACCTACAAAGGAAAACCCATCAGACTAACTGCAGGCTTTTCTTAACTGAGATTTTACAAGTGAGAAGAGACTGGGGCCCCATTCTCACTCACCTCAAACAGAATAAGGCCCAGACTAGAATTATGTGTCCTTTAAAATTAAGTTTCTTATATGAAGGAAAAACAAAGATCTTAGACAAGCAAAGACTGAAGGAATTCATCAAGATAAGACCTGCCCCCCAGGAAGTACTCACAACAGTGTAACACACGGATCAGCACAATAGACACTCACCAGTATGAAATCATCCCAAAGCTAAAGATCAAACGCCAGATACCATGATGGCTCAAGAGAGAAAACAAAACAACAAAGTTCAACTCAACAGGATGAACAGAAATCTGCCCTATTATCAATTCTTTCAATAAATGTGAATGGCTTGAACTACTCACTAAAGAGACATACTCCGGCTGAATGGATAAATATACACAACCCAAGTGTCTGCTGTTTTCAGGAAACACATCTAACCCACAAGGATACATTCAGAATCAAGGTAAAGGGATGGAAAACAATATTCTATGCAAATGGCAACCAAAAGAAAGCTGGCATAGCAGTTCTGATTTTCTAGATAACTTTAAATCAACAAAAGTAATGAAAGACAAAGATGGTTACTATATAATAGTGAAGGGTACAATGCAACAAGAAGACATAACAATTCTAATACTTAAGCACCTAACTCAGGTGCACCCAGATTCATAAAGCAAATCCTACTAGATCTAAACAAAATGATAAACAGCAACACTGTAATAGCAGGGGACTTCAACACCCCTCTGACAGAATAGGACAGATCCTCCAAGCAGAAAATAAACAATGGACTTAAATAGAATTCTAGAACAAATGGGACTGACTGACATTTACAGAACATTTTACCCCAAAACCACTGAATGTATGCTTTTCCCATCAGCTCACGAGACATTCTCTAAGACTGACCGTACTCTAGGCCACAAAACATGTCTCAACAAATTTAAAAATCAGAAATTATACCATGCAGCTTCTCAGAATAATTTTGAACATGGATTGTAAGAAAACTCACTGAAATGCAAGAGAAAATGGATACCCAACAGTGGGTATGGATACACCACAGTGGAATTAGAAATCAACTCCAACAGAAACTCTCATCTCTACACAAAGTCATGGAAACTAAACCTTCTGCTGAATGATTATTGAGTGAAGGAAGAAATTACGATGGAAATCAAAGGATTCTTTGAACTAAATGATATAGGAGACACAAATGATCAAAATCTGTGGGACACAGCTAAAGCAGTCCTGAGAGGAAAATTTATATCCATAAATGCCTATATCTAAAAGACCGAAAGATCACAACTCAACAACCTAATGAATTGTCTCAAAGAACTGGAAAAGGATGAGCAAGCCAACCCCAAACAAATCAGAAGAAAGGAAATAACAAAGATCAGAGCAGAACTAAATAAAATTGAGAACAAAAAAACTACACAGAAGATTAATAAAACAAAAAGCTGGTTCTCCAAAAAAAATAAAATTGACACGCCTCTTGCTAGATTAATGAAAAGAAAAAAAGAAAGGACTCCAATAAGCTCAATCAGGAATGAAAACAGAGAAATTACAACTGAAACCATGGAAATACAAAATATCATCTATGAATACTATAAAAATCTCTATGTACATAAACTTGAAAACATGGAGGAAACAGACAAATTCTTAGAAACACACAGCCTCCCTAGGCTCAATCAGGAAGAAAGAGAATTCCTGAACAGACCAATATCAAGTACCGAAATTGAAGCAGCAATAAAAAACCTTCCTAAAAAAGTGCCAGATCAGATGGTTTCACACCCAAATTTTACCAGACCTATAAAGAAGAACTGGTGCCTATCCTGCAGAAATTATTCCATAACATTGAGAAGAAAGGAATCCTCGCCAATACATTCTATGAAACCAACATCACCCTGATACCTGAACCAGGAAAGAACACAACAAAAAAGAAAACTACAGACTAATATCCCATTATGAATATAGACGCAAAAATTCTCAATAAAATCCTAGCAAACTGCATTCAGGTGCTTATCAAAAAAATAATCCATCATGACCAAGTGGGCTTTATCCCAGAGACTCAGGGATGGCTCAACATATGCAAATCTATAAATGTAATTCACCACATAAATAGAAGTAAAAACAAAGAACATATGATCCTTTTAATAGATGCAGAGAAAGCACTCAACAAAATCCAGCAACCTTTTATGATAAGAATGCTTAACAAAATAGGCATAGATGGGACTTACCTAAAAATGATACAAGCCATATACAACAAATCCACACCAACATCATTCTGAATGGGGAAAAACTGAAACCATTCCCACTCAGAAGTGGAACTAGACAAGGTTGCCCTCTATCACTGCTTCTATTCAACATAGTGTTGGAAGTCCTAGCCAGAGCAATGAGACAAGAGAAGGAAATCAAGGGGACCCAAATGGGGGCAGAAGAGGTCAAACTATTGCTCTTTGTTTTGTTTTGTTTTGTTTTTTTTGAGACAAAGTCTCACTCTGTTGCCTGGGCTAGAGGGCTGTGGTGTCAGCCTAGCTCACAGCAACCTCAAACTCCTGGGCTCAAGCGATTCTCCTGCCTCAGCCTCCCTAGTAGCTGGGACTACAGGCATGCACCACCATGCCCAGCTAATTTTTTCTATATATTTTTAGTTGGCCAATTAATTTCTTTCCATTTTTAGTAGAGACAGGGTCTCGCTCTTGCTCAGGCTGGTTTTGAATTCCTGACCTTGAGCAACCTGCCTGCCTCTGCCTCCTAGAGTACTAAGATTACAGGCGTGAGCCACCACGTCCGGCCTATTGCTCTTTGTTGATGATATGATCTTATATGTAGAACACTCCAAAGATCCTGCCATGAGACTACTGGAATTGATAAATAAATTCGGCACAGTGTCAGTCAAATCAATGTACACAAATCAGCAGCATTCCTATATGCCAATAACAGTCAAACAGAGAATGAAATCAAAGACTGAATACCCTTCACAGTAGCAACAAAGAAAGTAAAATACCTAGGAATATATTTAACTAAGGAAGTAAAAAGACCTCTACAGGAAGAATTAAGAAACACTAAAGAAGGAAATAGCAGAGGGCATAAACTGGTGTAAAACCATACCATGCTCATCGATCAGCAGAATCAACATTGTTAAAAATGTCTATACTACCCAAAGTGATCTAAAGATTAAAGGCAATCCCTATGAAAATACACACATCTTTTTTTGTAGATCTAGAAAAAATAATTCTATCCTTTGAATGGAACCAGAGAAGACCCTGTAGATCAAAAGCAATCTTAAGCAAAAAGAACAAATTGGGAGACATCAATTTACCAGACTTCAAGCTATACTACAAGGCTACAGTAACTAAAACAGCATGGCACTGGCACAAGAACAGAGACATAGACCAAAGGAACAGAACTGAGAACCCAGATATAAAACCATCCTCATAAAGCCATCTAATTTTTGACAAAGCAAACAAAAACATACACTTTTCAACAAAGAATCCTTATTCAATACACGGTGCTGGGAAAAGTGGATAGCCACATGTAGAAGACTGAAACAGGATCCATACCTGCCACAAAAATTAACTCATGGTGGATAACAGACTTAAACCTAAGGCATGAAACTATAAGAATTCTACAAGAAATTGTTGGAAAAACTCTTACATTGTATTAGGGAAAGAAATTATGAAGATGACCCCAAAGGCAATCACAGCAATAACAAAAATAAATAAATAAATGGGACCCAATCAAATCAAAAAGCTTCTGCACTGCCAAGGAAACTATCACAAGAGCAAACAGACGACCTACAGAATGGGAGAAAATATTTGGATGTGTAGTATGCTGATAAAGGGTTGACAACTAGAATCAATATAGAACTCAGGAAAATCAGCAAGAAAAAAATCAAACACCACCATTAAAAAGTGGGCAAAGGACATGAACAGAAACTTTTAAAAGAAGGCAGACTAATTGCCAACAAATATGTGAAAATGCTCAACATCTCTAATCAACAGGTAAATGCAAATCAAAACCACAATGAGGTATCATTTAACTCCACCGAGAATGGTTTTATCAAAAAGTCCCAAAACAATAAATGTTGTTGTGCGTGGATTCAGAGAGATAGGAACACCCAAACACTGCTGGTGGGATTGCAAACTAGTACGACCTCTATGGAAAGTAATATAGAGATACCTCAAAGAGCTAAAAGTAGAACTACCATTTGATCCAGCAGTCCCATTACTGGGCACCTACTCAAAGGAAAAAAAGACATTCTCTAAAAAAGACATCTGCACTAGAATGTTTATAGCAGCACAACGCACAATTGCAAAGCTGTGGAAATAAGACAAGTGCCTATCAATACATGAGTGGATTAATAAAATGTGGTCTATGTATACCATGGAGTACTACTCAGCCACAAAAACAATGGTGATCTAGCACCTCTTGTATTATCCTGAATAGAGCTGGAGCCCATTCTACTAAGTGAAGTATCACAAGAAGCACCACATGTACTAACCATCAAATTGGTATTAACTGATAAACATTTATGTATGCATATATAGTAACATTCATTGGGTGTTAGGCAGGTGGGGGGGAGAAGGGGATGGGTATATTCACACCTAATGGGTGTTGTGTGCATCGTCTAGGGCATGGACATGTTTGAAGCTCTGACTTGGGTAGGGCAAAGTCAATATGTTACCTAAACATTTGTTTCCCCATAATATGCTGAAAGAAAAATAAATAAAAATACTGGAAAACAGTTCTTGGTAACAAGTCTTGGATTATTTTAACTCCTACGAAAGTTTAATCTGGAAATGAATCAAAGTTATAAATTAAAGCAAAATAGTATTCTTTAATAGTTACTAAAACACTGTAATTGCTAAATAAACATTACCTGTAGAAGATTCCATCTTAGCTTTACTGTATGCAGAGAAACAATTAATAGAGCAGAAAAGCTCTGTCTTCCCCAAGTCATTGGTAGTCTCAATCATTTCATCTGAGGGCTTCAGTGATTTGCACGGAACAGATGTAAGTGGTTTGGCTGGTTTCTGTTTAGAGATTGAAATAATATTCATATTCCTGGCATATGATATATGTTAACAAACAAAAGCATAGCCAGTACCACTGCTTTAAATTGAAATGTTACAAAGAATAACAATCAAGCCAGTTTTTATACTTTCTTTAGAAAACAGAAAAAAGGATACTATAGATCACAATGACTAAAATGAATTATATTGATAAATCTATTTGAAAACTATTTTTATTATTTGTCAGATATATTTAATAACAATAATAATATCTATGCAAGCATTGAAGAAAGTGGTCATAGATGATGTTCATCATCCAAGCATTCAAAGCCTCCTGGATAAACAAAGGCCTTATGTAATTATAGGTCTCTACTTAATGCTTGCTTGGGCATCAACTCATGAAAGCTCTACTGATGCTAGGGAGGAGCCAGGAAGGAGTGCTTAGTACACATTACAAGACACCTCGGGAATCACTGTTTTTCTACGCTAACTTCATGGTAAAAATTACAAGCATATTGTAAAAAAGCAGCATACAAACAATAAGGAGAGAGTATAGTGAACTTAGTAAGCAGTAGGTGTGCAAAGTAAAAGGATATAAACTGTGAGGTTCATTACTTATTCTTTTCTTTTTAAATAACTTATTCTTTCTAGTGAAATAGGAACTATCATTCCTGGACTTAAGAAAACACCATCAATGGCAATGACAGAACAAAACTGCTTTTGGGAAAACACAGTACAAAGATAAATGAAAATATACAGATTTTCTTTTTCTGTGAAAGAACATGATATTGGCAAAGGAACAACAACACAAAAAGCAGAGGATAATTTGGAAAATTTCTATGTTTCTCCTTTATTTGTATAAATAATTTTTGTATTTTGAGGAACCCTTAACAATTCACCAATATTTAACATTAAGCAACAACAGTGGTATAATTTATAATTAAGTTGTCATTCATAAGGCAAAACACTTACTATGCTCTACTAAGATGTGGCCAATAATTATAATTACACCTAACAATCCACTTTTTAAAATAAAAGGCAATGCCAGTTTTAGATGTATATATTTGAATATTTTCCTAATTCTTGATTATAGTTCACTAACAATATGGATTTCCTCCATTATCACTGTCACACAATATCTTACATTGAGATGTGAGGGCCAAGAATTAGGTTGTGCTTGTTAACTGATTTACTCAAATAAGCCCTGACCCCATCACATGAGCTGAATAACTGGGTACTCAATACAGGCTCTTAGAAACAGAACAAGGCCTATTTATTATGAGTGATAAAGAAGGAAAAAAAAATAGTATTTCTTGCCTTTGGAAAAATGCTTGTGTGCTTTCCATTCTCCCATTTGTGGTCCTAGGGCAGAACACTCTCAAGGTGGGAGCGTGTTGCCATAGAAAAGATGGGGCTCACAAATGACCGATTTGAATTGTGCTTGTTGGGACTTTCTTCAACTGCTTGTTTTAAGGGAAGAATTTATAGGGCTAGGGCTGGGTCTCAAAACATCCTATGAACAAACAACATATATAATAGTCCCATCTCATAAAAGGGGCTCAGACCGCGAATTGTGTTCATCTCACTTAGTCTACCAAAGCAGGGACAGATTCTCTGCCTTAGAAGCACCTACCTAAGGTTCTCCTATCAGAAATAAGAATCTGTCAAAGTCTTCTATTTCATCTTCATCAACTTACCAACTGAAATTATTCTAAAGGGTACTAAAAACAATATTCCCACATTTTACCAGAGTGGAACCATTCATAAGCCAACTAAGGGAAGGAACAGTAGTTTTTGTTCATACCTGCTTATATGCTATAATATTCTTTGAACTATTAAAGTTCTGAGATGGTCCTTCCATCTGAAACATGTGGAACACACTAGAGCTGGTGTAACAGTAAGCTCCACAGTTTTCACAACAGTTCATGATGAGGTTGTTAGCAGAGTGGAACTTCGAAAAGCAGGTACTACTGCAGAGGCTATGTTTCACATTCTGGTATTTTACTTCATACTGAATCTAGGATTTAAAAAAAGGTTCAGTAAAAACTGATATTTAAATAGAATCATCAGAATCCCTTTAAAGGTTAAAAAGAATTACAACTTACAACAGCAATCTTCTGACACATGCTGCACTTGGTCAAAATGCTATTAGTACATATGGTAACAAATGGTTTTCTTTTTTCTTCATATGATAAAAGACAAGAAGGGCCGCAAAAATTTTTGGTAGAGCTAGTATCTTCCAGCTGGATACTGATCATATCCTTAGGATTTAAAATGTCTCTATAAAAATAAATAACAAGCACACCATTAAACAATTTTACCACAATCACTAAATGACCTGCTCAGACAATACCCTCCGCTGTTTCATTTACCTGAAGAGCTGTGAGTAGTAGTAACAACATTAGCCTTGAAATGAGAAAACCTGAATTCAGTATCCAGTTCTATCACTCATATTAAGCAACCCTGGATAAATCATTTATACTCCCTAAATGTTAATTTTCTCACCCATAAAGTAGGGATTATGAAACGTATCTAATAGTGCAAAGTTTTTTTTTTTTTTAAGAGACAAAGGTCTCACTATGTTGCCCAGACTGGCCTACAACTTCTCTGCTCAAGGGATCCTTCCACCTACCTCAGTCTCCTGAGTAGCTGGGACTACAGGCACACGCCACCACACCTGGCTTTTTTTTTTTTTTTTGAGACAGAGTCTCACTTTGTTGCCTAGGCTAGAGTGAGTGCCGTGGCATCAGCCTAGCTCACAGCAACCTCAAACTCCTGGGCTCAAGTGATCCTGCTGCCTCAGCCTCCCGAGTAGCTGGGACTATAGGCAGGCGCCACCATGCCCAGCTAATTTTTTCTATATATATGTTCACTGGTCAATTAATTTCTTTCTATTTATAGTAGAGATGGGGTCTCGTTCTTGCTCAGGCTGGTTTCGAACTCCTGACCTTGAGCAATCTGCCCGCCTCGGACTCCCAGAGTGCTAGGATTACAGGTGTGAGCCACTGTGCTTGGCCAACACCTGGCTTTGATAGTGCTGTTTTGAAGACTACTTAGCCTGTATTAGCTGGTGCTAATGATAACACAGTGACAATGAGCAATCATATTCACACATGCTGACAACTTTGGAATCTTTATGCCAGTATGGTCTGCCAATCCTTGGTGTGTGTGTGGGGGCGTCCCTCAGACACTTTCAGGGGTCCCACAAGATCAAAACTATTTTCATAATAATATTAAGAAGTTATTTGCCTTTTTACTGTGTTGACATTTGAACTGATAGTGCAAAAGCAATGGTGGGAAATTCCACTCTTTAGTATAACACCAAAAAGAACTGAAAACAGGTACTTGAACAAGTACATGCATATTGATAAACAGCACTAGTCACAATCGCCAAAAGATGGAAATAGCCCAAATGTTCATCAATGAATGAATGAATGGATAAACAAACAGTGGAATATACATACAGTGGAAAACTATTCAGCTATAAAAAAGAAAATACTAATATATGTTGCAACATGGGTGAACCTTGAAAATTATGCTAACAAGCCAGACACAAAAAGTCATATATTGTATGATTCAATTTATATGAAATATTCTGATAGATAAACCCATAGATAGAATGCAGACTAGTGGCTGACAGGGACTGGGGGAGAGGGAAATGGGGACAAACTGCTTCATGTGTAAAGTGTTTTACTTTGGAGTAATGGAAATGTTTTAGAACAAGACAGAAGTGATAATTGCACAACACTGTGAATATACTAAAGGTCAATGAAATCGTCAATTTTTTCGTCAATTTTTTGTTACATGAATTTCACTGAAATAAATTGGGAAAAGGAAAAAAATAGTGGGTAAAAGTGTCAGAGCCTTAGCAGAAATCAAAGTGGTGACACAAAAGTACAACTAACATTCATGTTATTCACTGTCACACAGTCACTGAAAAAAAAAAAAAAAGAGGCCGGGCACAATGGCTCATGCCTGTAATCCTAGCACTCTGGGAGGCCAAGGCAGGAGGATTGCTCAAGGTCAGGAGTTCGAAACCAGCCTGAGCAAGAACGAGACCCCATCTCTACTAAAAATAGAAAGAAATTAATTGGCCAACTAAAAACATATACAAAAAATTAGCCGGGCACGGTGGCACATGCCTGTAGTCCCAGCTACTCGAGAGGCTGAGGGAGAAGGATTGCTTGAGCCCAGGAGTGTGAGGTTGCTGTGAGCTAGGCTGATGCCACGGCACTCTAGCCAGGGCAACAGAGTGAGACTCTGTCTCAAAAAAAAGAAAAAAAAAGTGTCAGTTTTAGTTTGGGATGTCATTAATATAACAAAATTTTTAAAATTATTTAAATTTCATCCTTGAGTACATCCTTTTAATATTCCATGTGACATAGGCATAAAGTACTTCCTCTGCACACCATAAGAAGATGGTTGTTGCAAGGAAAAGCTTATATGAAAACATTAAGTTACAACCTGAATTAGCCACTTTTTTCATGGAACACATTTTTACTTAAAAGTAGTGACTATAAAACAAACTGTTACTCAGAAAAGGGTATCTGGCAGATATTTTCTTGAAAATGAATAAAGTGAGAATGTCACCTCAAGAAAAACAACTGACAGTATTTATTGCCAATAATAAAATTCAAGCTTTCAAGTGAAAATTAGAATTCTGGAAAACTTCTATCTGCCGCTTCCACTTTGATTGCTGCCCAAAACTTAAAGACTTTTCTGATGAGATTGGTGGTGATTTTTAAAATATTCATAATGAAGCCGGGCGCGGTGGCTCATGCTTGTAATCCTAGCTCTCTGGGAGGCCGAGGCGGACGGATTGCTCGAGGTCAGGAGTTCGAAACCAGCCTGAGCAAGAGCGAGACCCCGTCTCTACTATAAATAGAAAGAAATTAATTGGCCAACTAATATATATACAAAAAATTAGCCGGGCATAGTGGCGAATGCCTATAGTCCCAGCTACTTGGGAGGCTGAGGCAGGAGGATTGCTTGAGCCAGGAGTTTGAGGTTGCTGTGAGCTAGGCTGACGCCATGGCACTCACTCTAGCCTGGGCAACAAAGCGAGACTCTGTCTCCAAAAAAAAAAAAAAAAAATTCATAATGAATCATGTCAACATTTAGAAGATCTGCAGAACTCAGTGAACCAGTATTTTCCAAATGATAACAGCATGATGTTCAAAAATCATTCATGGATAAATGATCCATTCAAAGTTCAGGATAGATTAATGAAGGCCAGGTGTGGTGACTCATGCCTGTAATCCTAACACTTTGGGAGGCTGAGGCAGGAGGATCCCTAGAGGGTAGGAGTTCGAGATTACAGTGAGCTATAATGAGGCCACTGCACTCCAGCATGGAAGAAAGAATGGGACCTTGTCTCAAAAAAACAAAACAGGCCAGGGGCGGTGGCTCACGCCTGTAATCCTAGCTCTCTGGGAGGCCGAGGCAGGCGGATTGCTCAAGGTCAGGAGTTCAAAACCGGCCTGAGCAAGAGTGAGACCCCGTCTCTACTATAAATAGAAAGAAATTAATTGGCCAACTGATATATATGTAAAAAAAAATTAGCCGGGCATGGTGGCGCATGCCTGTAGTCCCGGCTACTCGGGAGGCTGAGGCAGAAGGATCACTGGAGCCCAGGAGTTTGAGGTTGCTGTGAGCTAGGCTGACTCCATGGCACTCACTCTAGCCTGGACAATAAAGCGATACTCTGTCTCAAAAATCAAAACAAAACAAAAAAAACCCAACCAACCAACAAACAAACAAAAAACGACGACAGATCGATGAATTTTAACATAACAGAGCACAAAATGTTCACTGATAATGGATTCAGATTCCACACTGTAACCACCTTTAAGAAACTACAACTTGACTTTTGATGTAATATCAAAGAATATCCACAATTACCTGAAAGGCTATTAAAACCCTCCTCCCACTTCCAATCATGTTTGTGAGGCCAGATTTTCTTCACAGACTTCAATCAAAACCATACTTTGCAATAACGTGAATGCAGAAGCAGACATGAAAATCCAACCAGACATTAAAGTGGTTTGTAAAACTGATAAAATAATGCCATTCTCACAGTTTTAAAAATATGGCTATTTTTCATTAAAATGTATTTAGTTTCTAATATAGTAAATAGTGATAGATATAACCTACTAACTAAAGCTCTTTGACTCGTCTTCAATATATATATTTTTTTGAGACAGAGTCTCACTTTGTTGCCCAGGCTAGAGTGAGTGCGGTGGTGTAAGCCTGGCTCACAGCAACCTCAAACTCCTGGGCTCAAGCAATCCTTCTGCCTCAGCCTCCCGAGTAGCTGGGACTATAGGCATGTGCCACCATGCCCAGCTAATTTTTTCTATATATATTAGTTGGCCAATTAATTTCTATTTATAGTAGAGATGGGTCACGCTCTTGCTCAGGCTGGTTTCGAACTCCTGACCTCGAGCAATCCGCCCACCTTGGCCTCCCAGAGTGCTAGGATTACAGGCGTGAGCCACTGTGCCTGGCCTCGTCTTCAATATTTTTAAGAGTAGGGGTCCTGAGACCAGAAAGTTTGAGAACTGCTGCTGTAGGAATTATCAAAATACCTATCTATCTAGAACTCTGGGAATATCAATCTTTGAGGACAACAGTTTTCAAGATGAACTACCCTTGAAATTAACACTACTTTGACATTTTCAAATTTTTAGTATATTACGAGCTTTCCATCACTTTAATCAGTACTGAAAAGAACATGTTGATTTCATTATTACATTAGTCATTTTACTAGTTTCAATTATAGCTCTATCTGCAGCGCTATCCTTACACTTTATTTGACAAAAATTCATTTAGGATTCAGTGTTCCAGGGAGTATTAAGCCTCGAGGAGGAGTATAATCTGGTCCTTAATGTCAAGAGGCTCACAGTCTAACGAAGAGGGTACCAATTCTTTGAAAACATTAATATTTTATGATCAATGTTTTGGGAATTATGAAGACGACACTATAAAAACATAGACCATGGAACAAGTAATTTGGGAGGGGTGGTGATAGGGAGAGAGGAATGGTGTGGGAGTGGATAGCAGGTGAAGTCATCTGAGGCATACCTTTAAGACAGAATGATGAACATTATCCAGATGGGAAGGGAGGCAGAAGAAACTACATAAGCAGAGGCATGGAAGTCTGAAAATACTTACTGGTTTTTACAACCATCAGCATACTGGATTGCTGGCTTCTAATCTACTAAAGTCTTATAAATAAAATATTTAAAAAAATCTTGTTAGAAGTATCTAAAATGAGCTTCAACTTCAAGCACAGGCCTGAATAACTTTTCTATAAATAAATCAAGCATTAATTAGTACATGGACCTATTTTCAACTCTATTGATTGCTTTCAGGATTTCTGGTTGGTTCCACCTAAAACACTAAAGCACAGAAAGGATACTTCTTAAATATACAGTTCTCAAAAACAAGCCACATCTTTCAAATAAGATTTAAAATAACATCTTCAAAGCCATCTTTCAGTGGCCTCATGAAACAGAATAAAAACTGCATTAACTCAAAATAGATGTTAAATCATTTCCATAAAAGAAATCTTAAAAATAACTGAAAATGGGGGGAAGGAACCCTGAAAATTTGCTAAAATGTTGAGAACTATGTATTAATACAAGAGGCTAATTGATGTGTTTTTTAAAAGTTTTGAAAAAAGCACAGGTTACTACCATCTTTTTACCAATCTACAAAATAGCAATTTTTATTACAATTATTTTTTAATTCAGAAGTAAAACTTGTCTCATATTTTTGCTTACCTTGAATTTCTATGCCTAAGAGAGCTTACACACTAAATCTTTCCTGCTTTAGCCTTTTCAATCTGTCTGGCACATCTGCTGAAGATGTGCAGTGAGTAAATTCCAAACATAGAAACATAATACCTTAACTTCTTAGGGCCTCGGTTTCCTCAAAACCAAAAGAAAAGGTTTGGACTAGATGACCCCTAAGGTCCCTTCCAGTTTTATGATTCTGTAGAGAGAGAAAGCAGGCTGAGGAGAGTGCCATATGGCCCATAGCAAAAGAGAAAAAAGACACAGTACAATACTAAAGGTTTGAAAAGCAAAAGAGAAAGTGGTGGTGTAGTTAAGTACAGTTCCAGGGAGTCAGACTTGAAGTAACAGATAACACCAGAAATAGCAGCCAAAGGAGGAGCTGACGCAACTCATAGGGTTTGTGAGTTTAAGAGAATAACAATAGTGATAGTTAACATTTACTGAGTTCTTATTATTATTCTGATCACTTATATTATTTAATGCTCATAATTCTTTTTTTTTTTTTAAAGAGATGAATCTAGCTATGTTGTCCAGGCTGGACTCAAACTCCTGGGCTGAAGTGATCCTCTTGCCTCAGATTCCCAAGTAGCAAGTAGCTGGGACTACAGGTGTGCATCATTGTGCCTGGCTTAATGCTCATAATTCTTTTCTTTTCTTTTTTTTTTTTTTTGAGCGAGTCTGCTTTGTTGTCCAGGCTAGAGTGAGTGCCTGGCGTCAGCCTAGCTCACGCAACCTCCACTCCTGGCTCGAGCGATCTTTCTGCCTCAGCCTCCTGAGTAGCTGGACTACAGGCATGCCCACCATGCCCGGCTAATTTTTATATACATATCAGTTGGCCAATTAATTTTCTTCTATATAGTAGAGACGGGGTCTCGCTCTTGCTCAGGCTGGTTTTGAACTCCTGACCTTGAGCAATCCGCCCGCCTCGGCCTCCCAGAGAGCTAGGATTACAGGCATGAGCCACTGCGCCCGGCCTCATAATTCTTATGTACATTTGACAAAAACAGACAGGAATACAAGAAAGGAAGAAGTTCTCAATGCCTCTGAAACTTTAGCATGTATATGAATCACATGGGAAGAAATGCAGTTCTGATTCAGTAGGTCTGTGAGACCTGAGAATCTGCACTTCTAACAAGCTCTAAGGTAATGCTGATAAAAGCTGCTCAGGGATCAAACTTTGAGTAGTAAAATATAACTAAATGGAACTAGCAAATTCAAATAATGCAATCTAGTTCCCAAATAAGACATTATTTGAAAGGAATTTATCGTATTTAGAAGCAAATTTGATGGCCTATGAATTTTCTTGTTCTTAAACAAGAACATTTAAAAATTTGCATTAGCATTTCATGAGTGCTAACAATGCAGAATTATACTACCTTAGGACTCTCAAAGCCAAAATGTCACTGAGCCCTTCACATACATATCCTCAAAGAAATCTTTGAAAGATTACATAAAGACATGTATGTTTATCTGTGGCTATTCAATTTCTCAAAAGAATTAAATAACTTCATTTACCATTACAAGAGAAACATAGCATTATTCTATATCTTGGAAGATCCAAACTAACTGTTATATAGTTAATTTTTTAGTAGGCTGCTCACTATACAGTTAAATGATAGAACTGAATGGACAGGCCGGGCATGGTGGCTCATGCCTGTAATCCCAGCACTTTGGGAGGTGGAGGCGGAAGGATGCTTGAGCTCAGGAGTTTGAGACCAGCCTGAGCAAGAGTGAGATCCCGTCTCTACTGTAAATAGAAAGAAATTAACCAAACAACTAAAAATAGAAAAAATTAGCCAGGCATGGTGGCGCATGGCTGTAGTCCCAGCTACTCGGAATAATCTCACTTATAGATAATTTCAAATGAAAAGGGTAGGAAAATAAGTTTTGGAAGTCACATTATTTCAAGTTAAAGAATAACAATTTCTCACATATTAATTTCTGAAAACCTCCCAATTAACAAAAAAACTATTTCTGAAGAATCTATTACAGGAACTAAAAGCAGAAACAGCTTCTTTCCACTAAACCAAGGCAAGATGTCTTCAAAAAAATGAAAACGAAGAAAATTACAACCAAGATTCTGATCAAGATCTATGTAGGGAAGTAAAAGGGGGCATAATTTAGAATTATATACTTTGAGCAGTTTGAACAAGTTCTCTTGGTATGAGCTGGCGAACTGGCAGATGAACTGTATTCACTGATGCATAGTGTAGAGCAAAAAAGTTGAGTAGATCCTTTCCTCTGATAAGCAGTTTGCCCCTTCTGGAGAATTTTTTTACAACCACAACAGGAAACCTGAACAGCTGTGGTTGAAACCGAAGGAAGCATTTTATTCACGCTAGATGATGCCAGAGAAAGCTGAATGCCTGTAGTTAACTGTGAAGCTATAAAAATAAAAGAGGAAGAAAAAAAATAAAATCAGTATTTACATAAAATTAAATATGCATTCTTTCATTATCTTATAGGCTACTTTTCCCTGGACTTCCCAACACAAACAAAGCAATATTCAAAGGCATTTAAAGAATAAATTAGCTATCATATTTGTCCAAACAAATATAAGTAACATAAATAATTCTATTACCACTGTCTGAAAACATAGTGTTTATTTTCAGTCCACTCTCCTGAGTTTTGGACTGTTGGGCTTGACAATACTCCTAAAAAAGAGAATTGAAAATAATGAATATGATGTACTTAAAACAACCATTCAGTAGAAAATGATAAATTATGCTCAAGTTTGTTCAATGAATTGCATAATTGAGTTGAACCAGGGTACACAGATAAGCATTACCTTTTTGATGCCCTTTGGCTAATAATACCAATCACTCAAAATACATTGTTTTGTATTTCTTTGGTACCCAGAGGTGATTTCAGAATCTTTGTCAACAATAGCCAATACCAATAGAGAGTAGACACACTCATGACAACTATTTTCCCTGCTTGTTCTAAATCATTAACTTATCTTCATAAAGATCTTATGACCCAGAAATTGAGCAGAATGATTCTTGCAAAGGAATATTTTTTGAGAGCAACATAATTTCATAGCTACCATATTCAAACTTGATCTGTGTCTAAATGTCCATGGGTTGAAGAGTAATAGATACCACCTAAATAGATACTTCTCCAGTGTCATCAACTCAATGGTAATCATACCCTTAACTTAATACTAATCTAATTTAGGCTATTTCTAAACAGAATACTAAAAATAAATTAATTTTTTACTGATTTACTTTTTGTTTCATTAGAAATTTTAGCTGGTTCATATACCAATATTCTAAAGAAACCTGTCCCTATGGACAGAATATTCACAGCTTGAGTGAGTTCATCCTTTATAGGTTATTTAGTATGTGACATGTCTAAAAAAGTTTTAGAAAATTTAAACATAAAGCTAATTACCCAAATTAGGGTAAAAAAATTATAAAGACAAAAGTTTTAACATTTATTATTATTATTATTATTATTTTATTTCGGCATAGTATGGGGGTACAGATTTTAAGGTTTCAATAAATGCCCATTCCCCCCGCCCCTAGTTTTAACAATTTAAAATGTATTAATTCTATTACTTAATAGAGGCAGTAGCATAAAAACATGTAATTAGTTATTTGTATTATATTGTTATTTACATTGTTTCAAGTTAAGAAAAACAAAAATGTGTTAACCTTGGCTAAGCCCATACTCCTAGGCAATCCTTTTATGTATCATATGGAAAAGCCCAACTGCAGTCTATTCTTCTCTCAATCACCTTCTTGCACATCCTTGTTATAGCACATATAGCACCATATCCCTTGTATTATTTGATTAACTGCTTTGGGAAAGACAGGATTTAAGTTTTTCAACTAATAATTTCAGTACCCTTATAACCAAAATTTATAATTAAATGCTGCTCTAGAAAAATAGAAAATAAAGTAAGATATTTACGTGAACACTGTCAGGTTCTGTCTTAATTTCTTTTAGAAGCCCGAGCTGTGGTGCCACTGCCTTGTCACATTCACCATCTAGCAGTGGTTCCTTCATTTTGGTATCTGATGCAAAGGAATCCTCCAGTTCCAAAATAATGGGTTTCTTCCTGGGGAACAGTTTCTAGATTCTTAAAACAAAATATACATAGAGTCTGATTTCATAATTAGTCTTTTTAAATATGGTAATTTTCTGGAACCACAAAAAGGTCTTTAGACAACTGTTCCCTCACAGTACCAACACTGGCTTCCTTCCCTTTATCCATTATTCCTCAATAAATTTCTGCTTTATACTTCTCTGGCATCTACCACCTCTGTGCTTTCTTCTGGAAAGTCTCCATTTCTAGATACAGCCCCAAACCACCAAGCCTACAAGTTTATTTTTAACTTATCAATTGTCTTAGAAAATATAAAGCTTTCTATCTGAGGTTAACCCAATTACCTGTGCTCACTATCTCCATCTGCCCTCCAGTTATTCTCTCATATGCTTCCTCAACTCCTCTTTGCCTCCTATTAGTTCCACTAACATAAGCAAAATAATGCAGTTGGTACAAAACAATCGCAGTTTCAGCATTGTTGAAATTTGCCATCTGGTATTGGAATATATTCTTAAATAAATGTGATCATGTTATATATCATTTTAATGCGCATTTTCCACATTTTTGCTAATGACTTATTACTTGCTGTTTATTTTATATTTATTTTAGACCGTGGAAATGATATTAGACAAAAAACAAATTCGAGTGATTTTCTTATTCTAGTTCAAAATGGGTTGTAAAGCAGCAGAGACAACTCGCAACATCAACAACGCATTTGGCCCAGGAACTGCTAACAAACATACAGTGCAGTTTTTTTTTTTTTTTGAGACAGAGTCTCGCTTTGTTGCCCAGGCTAGAGTGAGTGCCGTGGCGTCAGCCTAGCTCACAGCAACCTCAAACTCCTGGGCTCGAGCGATCCTTCTGTCTCAGCCTCCCGAGTAGCTGGGACTACAGGCATGCGCCACCATGCCCGGCTAATTTTTTTATATATATATCAGTTGGCCAATTAGTTTCTTTCTATTTATAGTAGAGACGGGGTCTCGCTCTTGCTCAGGCTGGTTTTGAACTCCTGACCTTGAGCAATCCGCCCGCCTCGGCCTCCCAGAGAGCTAGGATTACAGGCGTGAGCGAGCCACCGCGCCCGGCCTACAGTGCAGTTTTGCAAAGGAGAGAAGAGCCTTGAAGATGAGGAGCGCAATGGCCGGCTATAGGAAGTTGACAACGACCAATTGAGAGCAATCACTGAAGCTGATCCTCTCACAACTGCACAAGAAGCTGCCAAAGAACTCAATGTCAACCTATGGTCATTTGGCATCTGAAGCAAACTGGAAGGTCTAGCTCAAAATCCTGGGCTCAGGTGATCCTCCTGCCTCAGCCTCCCGTGTAGCTGGGACTACAGGCATGTGCCACCATGCCCGGCTAATTTTTTATATATACATATTAGTTGGCCAATTAATTTCTTTCTATTTATAGTAGAGACAGGGTCTCGCTCTTGCTCAGGCTGGTTTCGAACTTCTGACCTCAAGCAATCTGCCCGCCTCAGCCTCCCAGAGTGCTAGGATTACAGGCGTGAGCCACCGTGCCCGGCCCACAATTACTTTTGCACCAACCTAATATGTTCAAGGATCTGACTTCTAAAGCTATTGCTCTCCCTCAGACCACTCCTTCCTTCCCTCATCCTTGAGATTCTCTCCTTCCTGGAATTCTGACTCCAAGACTTCCTATTTCCCCTTTTACCTCTTTGCCAGTCTTTTTCACAAACACTCCTGGGCTCAAGAGATCCTACTGCCTCAGCCTCCCGAGTAGCTGGGACTACAGGCATGCGCCACCATACCCAGCTAATTTTTTCTATATATATCAGTTGTCCAATTAATTTCTTTCTATTTATAGTAGAGATGGGGTCTCACTCTTGCTCAGCCTGATTTTGAACTCCTGACCTCGAGCAATCCACCCGCCTCGGCCTCCCAGAGTGCTAGGATTATAGGTATGAGCCACCGCGCCCGGCCTTTCACAAACACTTATTTCACCTGTTTCTAAAGTATCTGTGTTCCTCCAAAGCACAATTCCCCAGTACTCTCCTCACTTGCTCTATGGGCACAATCTTACATTCAACTATAACCTATGAGCTGATTTTCCCCTACATTCCTGAGCTCCAGCCCATATACCTAATTTTCTATTAAACAGCTCCATTTGAGTGTTCCACCGTTTCCTCAAACTCAAGAGATTTAAAACTATATATTACCCCCACAAACCTGCTTTACAGATATTCCCTTTCTTGGTAAATGGCACTACCATATGCTCAATTTCCCATGACTAAAATCTAGGAGTAGTCCTAAATTCCTCCTCTCCTTAAATCTAATCACCAAATCAGATCAAATCTTCCTTCTAAATAAGTCCTAAATCTATTTGCCCATTACATATCATGACTGCTTCTCCCCACCACCCAAATCAATGGATTCCTTTTTGGTAAACAGGTAGCTAAAATCCAAAATCACAGTATAAAAGATTGTTGTACATTCAGGCTTAAAAAAGAACTCTTTCAGGCTGGGCGTGGTGGCTTAGACCTATAATCCTAGAACTCTTGGGAGGCTGAGGCAGGTGATGGATCACTTAAGGTCAGGAGTTCGAAACTAGCCTGAGCAAGAAAGAGACCCCATATCTACTAAAAATAGAAACAAATTAATGGACCAACTAAAAATATATAGAAAAAATTAGGCCAGGCGAGGAGGCTCATGCCTGTAATCCTAGCACTCTGGGAGGCCGAGACGGGTGGATTGCTCGAGGTCAGGAGTTCAAAATCAGCCTGAGCAAGAGCGAGGCCCCGTCTCTACCATACAATAGAAAGAATTATTGGCCAACTATATATATAGAAAAATAGCTGGGCATGTGGCACATGCCTGTTCTCAGCTACTCAGGAGGCTGAGGCAGGAGGATTACCTGAGCCCAGGAGTTTGAGGTTGCTGCGAACTAGGCTGATGCCACAGCACTCTAGCCCAGGCAACAGAGTAAGACTCTGTCTCCAAAACAAAAAACAACAAAAAAAACGAACTCTTCAAACCACTTATTCTCATAGAAAAAAAAAAAAAGGAGAGAGAGAGAGAGAGAGAGAGAGAGAGAGAGAGAGAGAGAGAGAGAGAGAGAGAGAAGAGAGAGAGAGAGAACTCTTTCCTTTCTTGCCACTCTAGGCTGGCTCCAGAGTGCAAGTCTTCTGGTCTCCTGCATCTCCCCTCCTTCATCTTCCCCAAAACAAACGGATACTCTTTTAAAAAGGGCTTTCACGGCCGGCCGGGCGTGGTAGCTCACGCCTGTATCCTAGACGTCTCTGGAGGCCGAGGCGGGCGATTGCTCAAGTCAGGAGTTCAAAACAGCCTGAGCAAGAGCGAGACCCCGCCATCTCTACTATAAATAGGAAGAAATTATTGCAACAATATACATATGTATCAAAATTACGCCATGGTAGCGCATGCTGTAGTCCAGTACTTGGGACGTGAGGCAGGATTGCTTGAGTCAGGAGATTGAGGTTGCTGTGAGCTAGGCTGACGCCATGGCACTCACTCTAGCCTAGGCAACAAAGCGAGACTCTGTCTCAAAAAAAAATAATAATAATAAAAATAAATAAATAAAAAGGGCTTTACAGCTCATTATTATGGAGAGTAGAAGATAACGAATATGGAGAAGTTACAGTTCTTACAGGAGTAATTCCAGGTCTCTGGTTTCATTCAGAGTTAGTACATGAAAGACTCAAGTAATTCTGCCATTACTTTTTATTTCTGAGACTGGGGTTCAACCACCTCCCCTCATTCCCATCTTTAACTTGGCTCTTATTGATAAGCACCTATCCAAGACAGAAAATTAAATAAATAAAGCCTGAGTGTGAAGTGCAATAAATAGCTCATATAGCCTCTATCCAGCCCATCTCAGCATTACACACAACCAGCAAAGCAAAATTCCATGGAAATTAACTATGTTGTCATTAAGTAGATTCTGTTTACCTGAAAGTCTAAATGTCAATTAAAATCAAAGCACCTACTTTGCACGTGGCAGTATTGTAGTCAATTAGGTTTATCTTCGGTGTTATTATTGCTAGTTGGAAAAAAACAACAACAAAGAACCTATGAGATTTGGCATCTCCGAAAAGGGTTATCACACAAATAGGAAAATAATGGAATGCACTCTGAAAACTTAATCACTTAATCTACAATATTTCTGAGGCAGGGGAAATAGTATGTAACATTTGTTTAGCTATTAGAAAAACAAAAGGAGCAAAAACTGTATATGAATGATAGATAAATCCATTACTTCCTTTTCCAACAAGATGCAAATTAGTGTAAAAATAAGCCATAGAGATTTCTTCTTAATATAGTCCTACCAATCTTTCCAAACTAGGGCTAAATCACAGTATGACAGAGTACACGTATTAACAGTCAAAGGATAAATGTTGTACCTCTTCCTGTTGGGCAATACTACTTGGTGGTAGGTAATTGAAAACATTTTAATTTAAACCAAAGAGAGAAATATTATGGAACAGAAGATAAAATTCACATTCATTTTTAAAGTAAAACATGAGATCACAAAGAAATCGGAAATTATCAAGAGTTACTTCCATATACACATACAAGAATTCTAGAGGGAATTCATCTACTTTCCTCCTGGAAAATCAGTACAATATTGCTTAAATAAATCTGATGCTTCAAACTACTATTAGGACATGAAAATAAATCATATGTGAAATATAGAACCAAAATGAGATTTCAATAAAATATAAGAGAATTAGAACAATGAAAGGAAACTGTCTATATGACAATGAATAAGATTCACGGATAATATCAAGACTAATTTCTATAGACTATATTTTGACTGTTACAGATTGAAGCATAATCTTGAAGAGATTTGAACAAATTTATAATAAACTGTCACTTTCTATTTTTTAAAAATATTAATAGCCCAATATTGAAAATTAAACAAAAGAACCTAAGAAATTCTGTATGAATATAAATATGGCTTTAATTATTGGTTTTTAGAAATCACACTATGAATGATAGAGATTTATATGATGAAATTAAAATATTTTCTATTTTCTATGACAACCAACTATTATACAATATTTAAATATAATATGTAAAATTGAATTCACTTATCTTTAATAACTTGCTTACTATCGATCCTGAAAACCATAGCCTTACACATATTTTTCTATTTTGTTGCTATGAAGGTATATTTGTTAAGCCAGGAGGATGGAACATATTTTATTCAACAATGTGTTAACTTGATTTATAACTTTCAAATATTCAGTCATATAACATGTGGGCCTCCCTCTGTACTCTTGCCAAAGGACCCCACAAATGCTAGCTCCATGGTGAGCCCAGCACCCCAATCACCCCAAGCAGATTTTCAGAACTAGACTAGTGCCGAGAATTAGGGGTGAGAAAGCCTGATTTAATGACAATAGCTCCCCATTAGGGCTAGGTGGTTACATGTGCCATACCAAAGGCAAGAAAGGGCAGGCCTAGGAGAGCCCTAGGAATGACTGTTCTAGAAAGGAGGTTATAGTCCTTGAAGCTGGAATATAGTCTAAGGAGGTGGTTTCAGGATCACTGAAGGACAAATGCAGCCACAAGGAGATCTGGAGGACCCAGAATGGAAAACACTATCTTCCTCCTGGGGCCAGAGGGCAGGGAGACAGATGTCAAGGGAAAGAATCAGCCACAGAGCAAGCACCTTGACTGTACCTCACCTTAATCTCCCCACAAGTACTAGTGCTTGTCTTTCCTCCCTGCAAAGGTCATGTCTGCTTATTCAAATACTACTCAGTTTGTAAACCAACTCAACTACAGATTTTATCAGATTGGCAAGAATTAAAAATAAAACTGATATTGGCAGCTCATATCTTAGTCTAGAGGTGAAAAAAAAACCCCAAAAAATAAAAAAAGATATTATAAACAATAAAAAAAGTAAAACTGATAAATCAAGGCATAACACAGTAGCCTTTAGCATACTAAATCCTCCTACTAGAAACAATTATAAAATTAACAGGATTTACCCTTGAGTGCATTTTCAGGACAGAACAGTGGAAAAAGCCCAAGCAGAAAACAGCAGAAGACAAAGTTAGGGTTCTAAAGTAGTTGGAACTCAAGAGGCACAATCTAGGGGAGGAGAGAACCACAGAGAAATAAACCCCCAAAGATGCATGTAAATATCCTCCTCCTCTAAGTCACTGTCTGACTCCTAACTTGCATATCTACAGAGTGAGACTCCAAAACCTAATAGTAAACAGCAGCTGGAAGGCCAAAGAGCTGAGAAGAGATTATAGGAGCTTTGCAGAGCTAAGAAAGTTGAAATTTAATACCAGCAAAGGTAGAGGCCTTGGTAAAGACACGGACTTTTGGAGACCCCAGGAGGGCCCCACCCTGGGAGCAAGGGCCATGCCTTGGGAGGAAAAGACCACTTCCTAGCAGAAAGGGCAAAATGAAACAGATCAGCCCTAACAAGGCCTAAAATCAATCCTCAACAGGACCAATGTAATCTGCGACTACTGCCTGACTGCCTAAAGGCAACTTAGCCCACTTTCAAGGAAGTGCATGCATCCAGATGCTAAAAATGTTCACCCACAATGTCCAGAATCCACTAACAATTTATGGACCACTAACCACTTTAAAAATCCCAAAACTGACTGGAAAAAACAAAAACAACAGAAACTAACCCACAGGTGATATGGATGTATTATCAGGCAAGGACTTTGATATGTTTGAGAAAATAGAGAAAAAGATGGAGAAGTTCAGCAGAGACCTGAAATCCATTAAAGAAAAAAAGAGTTACATGAGGTATCTAGAATTGGAAAATAAAATAGGGCAATTAAGAATTCAGTAGATGAATTCAGTATCAAATTAGTGAAGTAGAAGACAGGTTAGTAGAAAGCCACATCCATAAAGTGATAAAAGGATGAAAAATACAAATAATGTGGTATGTGGCATATGTAAACAGAGTCTCAGAATATGTGAAAACAGACAATGCAACAGAAACAATATTTGAAAAAATACTGCTGGAAAAATTCCCCAAACTGAAGAAAAACAATTAGACCACATGAATTCAATCAGTTCTGTGAATCTCAAATAAGATAAAGAAAAAGAAAATGCAAAGTAGGCATATCATAGTCATAATAGTGAAAATGTAAGACCAAAAGAAAAAATCTTAAAACCAGCAAGAGAAAAAAGACACATTAATATACAGGGTAACAAGAGTTAAGAATGAGGCTGGGTGCGGTGGTAAGCACCTGTAGAGGATTTTCCTTGAGCCCAGGAGTTTGAGGATGCAGTGAGCTATGATGATGCCCCTGACTGCACTCTAGCTGAGGCGACAGACTGTCTCAAAAAAAAAAAAAAAAAAAAAAAAAAAGAAGGAAGAAGAAGAAGAAAGGAGGTCAGACACCAACAGAATACTTTTAAAGTGCTAGGGAATAATCTCCCTAAATTTCTATATTCAGTAAATATATCCTTCAAAATAAGAGCAAAATAAAGACATTTGCAGATAACTGAAAATGGTGAGAATTTATTACCAGCAAACTTACATTGTAGAAATGCAAAAGGACGTTATTTAAGCTAAAGTGAAATACTAGATAGAATTTGACATAAAAGCTGGAAAGAAAGAAATTATCTGTCTTTATTTGTAGACAACATGACTGTGCACATAGAAAACTCTAAGGAATCTTCCCCCAATTCACCCCAAAAAAGAAACTACTAGAATAAGGGAATTTACCAGGATCATAATACAAGACCAGCATTTCAGAATGTCATCTCTCATCACATCTCTTCAAGTTATTTTTCTGGAAGTTCCAGTCAGGTCAATAAAGCAAGTAGGAAAAAAATAAAAAAAGACATAGCTAGGCACGGTGGCCCATACCTGTAATCCCAGCACTTTGGGAGGCTGAGGTGGGAGGACTGTTTGAGGCCAGGAGTTTGAGACCAGCCTGGGCAACACAGAGAGACTAAAAAAGAATTTTTCCCATATTGTCTAGCAGTTAGGGGAAAAAAAAAAAAGGCCGGGCACACTGGCTCACACTTGTAATCCTAGCACTCTGGGAGGCCGAGGCGGGCAGATCATTTGAGCTCAGGATTTCAAGACCAACCTGGGGAAGAGTGGGACCCTGTCTCTACTAAAAAAAATAGAAAGAGGCTGGGTGTGGTGGTGGCTCATGCCTGTAATTCCAGCACTCTGGGAGGCAAAGGCGGGCGGATTGCTCGAGGTCAGGAGTTCAAAACCAGCCTGAGCGAGACCCCGTCTCTACTAAAAATAGAAAGAAATCAATGGACCAACTACAAATATACATATAAAAAAAATCAGCTGGGCATGGTGGCGCATGCCTGTAGTCCTAGCTACTCGGAAGGCTGAAGTAGTAGGATCACTTGAGCCCAGGAGATTGAGGTTGCTGTGATCAAGGCTGATGCCACGGCACTCTAGCCTGGGCAACAAAGTGAGACTCTGTCTCAAAAAAAAAAAAAAAAAAAAAAGAAAGAAATTAGCTGGACAACTAAAAATATATAGAAAAAATTAGCAGGGCATGGTGGCACATGCCTGTAGTACCAGCTACTCAGGAGGCTGAGGCAGAAGGACCACTTGAGCCCAGGAGTTTGAGGTTGCTGTGAGCTAGGCTGACACCATGGCACTCTAGCCCGGGCAACAGAGGGAGACTCTGTCTCAAAAAAAGAAGAAAAAGAAAGAAAAGAAAGGAAAGAAAGGAAAGAAAGAAAAGAAAGAAACCTTGAAAAGGAGGAAGAGGTAAAATTGTCATTCATAGATGACATGGCTGTGTGCATAGAAAACTCAAAAGAATCTCCAAATTATTAAGTTAAGTAAGGTCAATATTTGAAACTCAATTACATTTTTTTGCACTAGAACTATAAAATAAAAAAATGTAAAAATTACAATTTTCTTTGCCCATCATAAATATCAAATAAAGAAAGAAATCTAATAAAAGATGTTGAGATCTCTATACTGAAAACACTCCTGAGAGAAATTAAGGAAGATTTACATAATTCTCATTGATTGGAAGACTCAGTATTAAGACCTTTCTTCCCCTAATTAAGCTAGGGATGAAAACTCCAGTAGGGGTTTTTGTGGAACTTGCAAGATAATTCTAATATATATAGAATGGATATAGAACCTAAAAGAAAAAAAGTTGAAGAACTTATAATTACTACAGTAATTACAATAGTGTGATATGGACACAAGCAAAAACTAAACAATTAATGAAACAAGAGTCCAGAAGCAGATGTATTTCTCTTATTTCTTTGCATTATACTGCTTTATACATTAAACTTTGTAAAGATTCGTTTTATTCATCTGAGTTCTGCAAGCTCTTTTACTGGCTTGTAAGGAAGGTTGGAGGCAGAAGGCTAAATTCTTTTCAAACCAAACTAAAATATCTATGCTTAATTCTGCAGGCAATAGGGAGCCATCATTTATGAAATGCCTGCAGTACTAGGGTTACAGAGTAGAATGACCTGACCTTCATAATGTTCTGCCCAGACAGGTGTAAGTGTAGCAATGTAAGTAAGCATATGCCAGGTACAAAACAGAAATGAGAGAAGATGGTCAAAGAAGTTTTCTGGAAAGTGAAGAAATCTGAGGTTTTTGTTTTTTGAGACAGAGTCTCACTGTGTAGCCCTGGGTAGAGTGCAATGGCATTGTAGTAGCTCACTGCAACCTCAAACTCCTGGTCTCAAGGGATGGTCAGGCACCAGCTTCCCAAATAGCTGGGACTACAAGCTTGCATGATGATGCCTAGCTAATTTTTTCCATTTTTAGTAGAGACTGGGTCTTGCTCTTGCTTAGGCTGATCTCCAACTCCAGAGCTCAAGCAATCCTCTTCCCTCTCCCTCCCAGAGTGCTAGGATTACAGGTGTTAGCCATCTTGCTGGCTTTAAAGTAGGTGTCTGGTGCTCACTTTGGCAGCACATATACTAAAATTGGACTGATACAGAGAAGATTAGCATGGCCCCTGTGCAAGGATGACAAGAATGAATGAATGAATAAATAAATACAGTAGGTGTCTACCATGCAATGATGGGGAAATATTCCTGGCATAGGGACAGATTGTAAGCACAAATACATGGAAATTATACGAGTACGGTTATTGTTGAAGACAGTGCAAGAATGCTAGTAGAAGGAACTAAACCTGGCAAAGCAGACAAGGGGACATATCAGGTAGGTCCTAAAATTAATCTGGTAAACCAGTAACTCACAAACTGTGCTTCTGGAGTTCAGCAAACATTTCAGATTTCAGGGTTTTTTTATTTTTATTTTTTTTGAGACAGAGTCTCGCTTTGTTGCCCAGGGTAGAGTGTGAGCCTAGCTCACAGCAACCTCAAACTCCTGGACTCAAGCAATCCTCCTGCCTCAGCCTCCCGAGTAGCTGGAACTACAGGCATGCGCCACCATGCCCAGCTGATTTTTTCTATATATATTAGTTGGCCAATTAATTTATTTCTATTTATAGTAGAGACGGGTTTCGCTCTTGCTCAGGCTGGTTTCGAACTCCTGACCTAGAGGTATGTATCCACCCGCCTCGGCCTCCCAGAGAGCTAGGATTACAGGCGTGATCCTAACAGGCGTGATTACACCGCGCCCGGCCTAGATTTCAGTTTTTAAATAAAAATTTACTTTTAAAAAAACTAATAAAATCATGAGATACATTTAACTGTGTTATATTCCAAGTGTTAAGTATTTTGTTTCTTTATTTTTTTTTTTGCCTATAAAAATCCTAAGGAGTGTTAAGTATTTTGGAGACCTCTAAAGCATTGTTTAGATTAACAAAGACCTTTAGAAAATACCCTTTCCTGTCATTTGGGTGAATACAGTTCACAATTCTTCGTACCTCTGGTATTGATTAACGTTACAAGTTTCCACCAATCGTTTTATATGTTCACTCACATAAACCCAATTGCAAATTCACCATTTTATCACGTGCATCAACTCCGTTAATGCTCTTGCCTCCATCTAAGAGTTAAATGGGCAAAGTATTCTAATGAAGTTCTTGTTATACATTTCGAGGGCTTCTCGTATATTTGTGGTGGAAAATACAAACTATTGTCAGAGGTTATTCGTGATTCAACTCTTAAAGGAAAAATTCTCCACTTATTTACTTTCAAGTGTTAATTGAAAAGCAAGCTGACACTGCATCCTGAGAAAGCTGATTAAAAGTTACCATGTGCAACCACTAGTCCATGCAAACCAGGATATTCTCAATCTTGAAAACTAAGACGAAATACATACAGTACTGCACCTTCACCTAATCCCAATTTCAAATCCGAATTCATCAAACTTTTATAATTATTTCATCTCTTTTAGCTGGGATCAGTAAATTCTATTTGCAAAAGGAGTTCCATTTTTTTTTTTTAAGTTTGAAAAATCACTGCTTAACGAAGGAGAGCCACAGGTGCGATCCGGCAAGTATTTTAGAAACGGAGGCTGCAGAGAGCCCAAAGTCTGAGAGCCCAGTTACGACGCAGGAGCAGGAGGCGGCGAGAACTGCTGGAATTGGGGAGCAGCAGCCCCCCGGGTCTCTGCGGGCAAGGTTAAAGGAGACGACAAACACAATCCAGGTCAGGGCCTGGCCTGGAGCTCCCGACCCCCACATGGCGGAATCCGCACTCAGGGCTGCGTCTCTAGGAGCCCGACCCGGCGCGTCATCCTCCCTCAGACGGCAGAAACTTTGCCCCTTTCGAGTAAGGCGCGGAGTAAAGACCGAAAGCAGAGCCGCGGAAGGAGGCTTACTAAATTCTCTCAGAGTCGCTCCCGCGCGAGGTTCCCCAAAACGTCTCGGACACGAAACTGCCCCGCCTGCCCCGCCCCTTTCCCGCCGTGCTGTGCGGCCGAGCATGCGCAGCGCCGCCCGCCTGGCGCGGTCCCATCTCCCCCCTTAGTGACCCGCGACCTTGGGACTGAAGAGGAAGTGAAAGAGGGGGAGGGGAAGGAGCCTTCTGTCCGCGTAGGATCTTAGCGTTGACGTCATCTCTGGCTGGCAGCCAGAGTGGGACCCTTAAAGGGATTGACTCAGGCAGGGCAATTAGATTTCCTGGATTTCAGAGATGGCTCTACCACTTATTAGCTGTGTGCTAGTAAACGATTTGACAGTATCTTTTAATCCCAATTTCTTCATCCTTGAAATGCAGGTAATTATAGGCTTGTGAAGATTACACAGGCAATGTTAGTGAATGAAGTGCCAGGTGCGGAGTAAATTCCCTGTAAAAGCAGTTATCTGCAGAGATTCGGGGTTTAGTCTTCTTCCTTTTTGTGGAGCTCGTATATTAAAATTAAAATAATCCCAACACTATGTCAAAAATTATGGTATATTTTAAATGTTAATACTTTCAATAGTTATAAAAGTATAGGATCAACTCATCGTGCTTTTCCTAAAATCATAATAGGATTATATAAAGTTGAATGATGAACTTACTGCAATCTTGCCTCTGACAATAACTTCTAAAAGATATATTATCAAAAGTCTAAATTTGAGGCCCTTTGTGAAGGTGAGGTCCAAGCCAAAAGGACTTCCTGACTCCTGCTGCTGTGGTCCCTAAATAACCTCTGGCATTAACCTCAAATTCAAATTTGATAATTTAATTAATTTAATTTAAGTAATTTAAGTTAATTTCTCCAACAGTTATTCTTACTTTCCTAATATTCATAATAATCCATTTAGACTGTTAGAATTTGAAAGGACCTCTCCTCTAATGCACCCACCTTACCAAAAGAGAAGCTATGAGCCAGAGGTCAAAGGCAATTTACCCCAAGTCACCCAGCAATTTAGTGACTGTGATTAGACTAAAACCAAGAAATGAGTCTTGGTTCAGTGGGCTTCCAAATGCAAATAATGTCATTACTAACTGCCTTGGGAGTTGAAAGATGGGTGGATTCATGATATCACAAAAACTGTAAGGATGTGTGATAATTTTGAGATGTCGTGAAACTTCAACCACCTCCACTGACAGAGCTGAAAATTTGGCCTAGTGTTTCAGGCAGTAGATGAGGGTCACAAGTTACATGTGTCTGGCCGGGTGTGGTGGCTCACGCTTGTAATCCTAGCACTCTGGGAGGCTGAGGCGGGCGGATTGCTCAAGGTCAGGAGTTTGAAACCAGCCTGAACAAGAGCGAAGCCTGTGTCTTACTTGCCCTGAAGTCTCAACAGTTTATATTGGCTGAGAGATTAAGTTGTAAACTAATAAAGGGTAGAAGGAGAGCTTTGAGAGATAGAAGGCTTGATTTACTCCTTTTCAGTACTATTTTCCATATCTCAGCTATAGAAAAATGACCTCAGTGATATGGCAATGATGGTTTAGGCATGGGGGAAGAAATTTAAGCTAATTGTGGGGGCGCCTCAATGGCCCTTCGGCGGCGTCTCAGTGGCACAACAAGAAAGGTATTTCCCCCCCCTTCGTGTGAAGTAGGGTGAGGCAATTAGCGAACAGCACACATCTGTTTATACTCATACCTCCAGTTATCTCTTGGGTTGTGAAGAAAGGCAAAAGGGAGGTGGGATGCACAGGGATCGCGCAGAATTCAAAGAAAATTAATCACTTCAAAGGTCAGCTCATGGCCAGCGTGTAATTAGTTTGTGCCTCGCTAGGGCCCTTTGGGGGGGGATAAAAGGCACCCCGCAATTCAGGTCGGGGTCCTTGCCTGTAAGAGCGGCCACTGCGCTGGCACTCTAGGGCCTGGACCCTGGCTAGCCAGAAAATAAAGCTCCTCTTGAGTGATTGCATCCTTGGTGTCTTTGTTCGTCTGCCTGGCGGGGTGCAGGAAGCCGGTCCCTAACATAATAAGAAGTTGGAGTCCGAAGGCATTTCCCAACCTCATTTAAGGAATGTGTAGCACCTGAAAAGTTGTTAATTTTTTAAAAATAAATTTATTTCTTTATTTTTTGAAAAATTAAATTTTACTTAACTTTTTTTTTTACTAACCCCTAACTCAAACTGAAGTTGTTATTCCAGGAGCCTGTAGGAGCTAGGAATCTTAACAGTAAACTAAATCAGTAGGGCGGGATTAAGAGTGGGAGTGTTTGGGACTGCAATGCATGGGAGGTCACATCTTTGGCTGAAAGGGATAGTTGCTGCACAGCTCTGATTACTGCCATTCAAAAATGCAGGGCCCAGTGTTGCCCAAACTTTCAATTTCCAAGAGAAACTAGAAATCCATATTTTGATGTGAAACTGCCTGATCAAAAAAAATATTAGAGATGTTGGAACGCCCAGTAGACAAAAGTAACAACTCTGTGGGCTAAATCTGGTTCACAGGCTGCCTGTTTGCAACCTTTGTGTTAGTTGCTGGTCAGAAGCCCAGAAGTTAGCAATCTATCACTGAATTTTGAATGCTGTTCTGGCTGAAGCCTGCTCATTCTTCTGTTTAGCAACTTGAGAATTGTCAAAGAAAAAGAAGCAGGATCTATTAAGACTCAAAACCTACCAGAACTAAACTTTCCAGAGGCTTTACCCCAGTTCTCTTGGTGGGACTAGAAAGAAAGAGGAATCCAAGAACTGAAGAAAAGAAACTTTCCACTGAGAGGGCACATTTAGTTTTGTTTTGTTTTTATTTTTTCAACTAACATAAAATTGTTCAATGGATTTTAACACATGTATAATGCAAAACACAAAATTGGTGGGACGTGGTGGTTTAGGCCTATAATTCCAGCTATGTGGGAGGCTGAGATGACAGGATCCCTTGAGCCCAAGAGTTTAACGATGTAGGGCTAGGATAACACATGTAAATAGCCACTGCACTCCACCCTGGGAAACATCGTGAGAAACTCCATGTTTTTCTGGAAAAAAAAGGCAAAATTAATTACAACAAATTTAGTTTAAAGATCTAGTTGGCCTTTATTTGCGATTTTAGAATCAGGCAACACCTCATTGTATAAAATAAAAAGAATACTCCGATGAGCCGAACAGAGGAGTTTGGCTTTACAGGCAGAAAAAAGCTGAGGAAAGCAGAAACAGAGAACAAAAGGCAGATTGTCATTTTAAAGTTACTTTTGTTAGGGACCGACCTTCCACAGCCCCACCGGACAGAAAAGCAGAGACATTGAGAATGCAATCACACAAGAGGAGGTTTATTTTCTGGCTAGCCAGGGTCCAAGCCCCAGAGCACCAACGCAGTGGCCACTCTCGCAGGCAAGGACCCCGACCTGAATTGCGGGGTGCCTTTTATCCCCCCCCCCAAAGGGCCCTAGCAACGCACAAACTAATCACGCGCTGGTCATGAGCTGACCTTTGAAGTGATTAATTTCCTTAGTATCCTGCGCGATCCTTGCGCATCCCACCTCCCTTTCGCCTTTCTTCACAACCCAAGAGATAACCGGAGGTATAAACAGATGTGTGCTGTTTGCTAATTGCCTCACCCTACTTCACACAAAGAGGGGGAAAAATTCCTTTCTTGTTATGCCACTGAGATGCCACCGAGGCGCCATCGAGGCGCCCCCACATTTTCTTTGTAAAGGTTAAAGCAGAGAGGATTTCCTTATCATACTGGTTAAAATGGGTTTACTTGGAGATTTGGCTATTATCTCCCTCTCCTGACTTCTGTGAAGGTCAGATAAACAACTTGGTTTTGGAACTTCAGCATGTGTAATTCCTTTTCTTTTTTTCTTTCTTTCTTTCTTTTTTTTTTTTTGAGACAGGGTCTCCCTTTGTTGCCCAGGCTACAGTGAGTGCCGTGGCATCAGCCTAGCTCACAGCAACCTCAAACTCCTGGGCTCAAGAAATCATGCTGCCTCAGCCTCCCGAGTAGCTGGGACTACAGGCATGTGCCACCATGCCCGGCTAATTTTTTTCTATATATATTAGTTGGCCAATTAATTTCTTTCTATTTATAGTAGAGACGGGGTCTCGCTCTTGCTCAGACTGGTTTTGAACTCCTGACCTCGAGCAATGCGCCCGCCTCAGCCTCCCAGAGTGCTAGGATTATAGGCGTGAGCCACTGCGCCCAGCCAAAATTTTTTTAAACAACAGATTCATTTAACTGTTACCACAGTCAAAATACAACAGTACCATCACCTCAAAAAAGCTTCCATTTACAATCACACTCTCCTCTTATCATAATCCCCAGCAACCACTGCTTAGCTATCCATCATTATAGTTTTGTCTTTCTGATGTTAATGAAAAAATTATTCATGAAACTTGTTAAAGATGATAAGGTAGATGTTATTCAAGAAGGGGCCATGGAGAAAGATATGGAGACTGCTGCAATGGAGTCTCACAGTGGGAAAGAAATACTGTACTCAACTCCAACTTCGACAAGGGCAAGTGGGGATTTATAACCAAAGAGTTGGGGGAGGTGGTCAGTGGATAGGAAATTACTAAGAGGAAACAATATCAAGGGTTAAGGGGATTTTGGTTTATATTAACTTTATAGGATTATCACCGAAGGTAGGCCAGCGTGATAGAATACCTAGGATGGTCAGATACCAAGGGTGAGATATTTTTCCTAAACTTATTTAGCAGGATTCTTGTTCGAACTTGATATTACAAGGATAGAGAAGGAAGCCCAAGATTGGGCCTAGTCAAGCAGAGGACTCCAACGGGCCTGACTAAAGTTTGGGTCAAAGGAGAGCATCTTTGTCATTTAGAACAGCAGTCCCCAACCTTTTTGGCAGGGACCATTTCATGGAAGACAATTTTTCATGGGCTGAGGATAGGGTGGTATGGGCAGGTAGGCATAGCTCAGGGGGTGATGCCAGCGATGGGGAGTAGCTATAAATATACGTGAAGCTTTGCTCGCTGGCCCGCTGCTCACCTTCTGCTGGGTGACTTGGTTCCTAACAGGCCACAGACTGGTACTGGTCTGCAGCCCAGGCGTTGGGGACCATAGGTTTAGAATATCACATAAGTGGGATCATACCTTCTGGTTATATACCAAAAGTATATAACCTTCTGAAACCAACTTCTTTCACTCTGCTTAGTGCCTCTGAGATTCATCTAAGTTTTTGCATGTATCAATAATTCATTCCTTTTTATTGCTGAGTAGTATCCCATTGTATGGATATACCACAGTTTGTTCATCCACTCACCCACTGAAGGACATCTGGGTTATTTCCAATTTTTTGGCAATTATGAGTAGAGCTGTAATAAACACCATGTACAGGTTTTTATGTAAACTAAGTTTTTGTATCTCTAGGGTAAATAACTGGGAGTAAGAATGCTGGGTCATGTAGTAGGTATACAGTAGTTCCCCTTATCCAAAGGGGATAAATTCTAAGACCCCCCAGTGGATGCCTGAAACTGTGGATACTATCAAACCCTATATATATTATATTTTTTACCTATACGTATTATATGTATAACTTTATGAGAAACTGGAGGCCAGGCGCAATGGCTCATGCCTATAATCCCAGCACCTTGGGAGGCAGAGGTGCAAAGATTGCTTAAGGCCAGGATTCAAGACCAGCCTGGGCTATATAGTGAGACCCCATCTCTACAAAAAATTAAAAAATTAGCCAGGCATAATGGTGCATGCCTAGAGTCTCAGCTACTTGGGAGGCTGAGGTAGGAGGATCACTTGAGTCCAGAAGTTCGAGGCTACAGTGAACTATGATCATGTGCCACTGCACTCTAGCCTAGGTGACAGAGTGAGACCCTGTCACACACACAAAAATAGAACTGGAAAATTGTTTTCCAGACAGTCTGTACCATTTTGCCTTCCTACTAGCAATGTATGAGAGTTCTAGTTGTTCTACATCCTTGCTGGGACTTAATACTGTCATTATTTTTTTATTTTAGCCATTATAATAGGTATGTATGATAACTCATTCTGGTTTTAATTTGAATTTCCTTAATGGATAATATTTTGAACATCTTTTCACATGCTTATTTGTTATCTATGTATCCTCTTTACTGAAGACTTTAAGACTTTTGCCCATTTTAATTTTTATTATTTTTATTTTTTAGTTTTTGAGACAGAGTCTCACTCTGTTGCCCAGCCTAGAGTGCCGTGGCATCAGCCTAGCTCACAGAAACCTCAAACTCCTGGGCTCAGGTGATCTTCCTGCCTCAGCCTCTCAAGTAGCTGGGACTGCAGGCATGCACCACCATGCCCAGCTAATTTTTTTTCTATTTTTTAGTAGAGACGGGGTCTTGCTCTTGCTCAGGCTGGTCTCAAACTCCTGAGCTCAAATGATCCTCCTGCCTCGGCCTCCCAGAGTGCTAGGATTACAGGCGTGAGCCACCATGCCTGGCCTTTTGCCCATTTTTAAATTGAGTTGTTTGTACACACTCACACACAGCCTCAAACCCAGTCCTTTGCAGAGGTGCTGGCTTTAGTCACACCTATGTGTGCCAGTGCCTGGCCTGACCATTGGTCCTTTGGTGGCCTTGGACTGCTACAGAGCCACTCTGCTCTGCCACACCTATGGGAGCCTGCCCCAGCTTCATGGCTAGCCCAGTAGCAGTGCCCCCTGCCCCCATCCAAACCACCAGAGAGCTGCCCAGCCACACCACAGCTATGAGCACCTGTATCTGGCCTCTGCCAACTTGCCAGTGGCCACTGTCTCCCTGGGGAGACCACTAGATGGCCTGTCAGCTCTCCATGGCTATACCTGTCTGGCTGACATTTAGCCTGGTACCCTCGCCTTCAGCAAAAATCATACCACTGCCATCACAAACACCCATAGCCTAGGCAACTGAGGTGATCACAGATGTCACTGACTCAGAGACCACACTACTGAGTCCACCTAGAATTACTAGAATTAAAGCCAATGTACCACATCCAACCAACCAACACCTTAGAAAAAAAATCTCTCCTTATGAAAGGTACTACATAAAATTGGAAAAATTTTCCATTAGGTACACAGGTATCAACATAAGAACACACAAAAATAAACATGAAAAAGCAAGGAAACACCCCCAAAGGAACATGATAAATCTCCAGTAACAGACCCCAAAGCAAAGAACATTTATGAAACGCCTGAAAAGGGACTCACAATAATGATCTTAAGGAAAGTCAGCAAGATAAAAGAGAATACAGACAAACAATTCAATGAAATTAGAAAAACAATTTATTATCTGAATGAGAAATTCAACAGAGATATCAGTAAAAAAAAACTGAACAGGAATTTTGGAGCTGGAAAATTTATGAATGAAGTAAAAAATACAACTGAGAGCTTCAACAACAGACAAGATCAAGGAGAAGAAACAATTTCTGAACTTGAAAATAGGTCTTTTGAAATAACCCAGTCAGAGGGAAAAATAAAAACAAAAATGAAAAAGAATGAAGAAAGCCTATGGGACTTATGGAACAACATTAAGTGAACAAATGTTCACATTGTAGAAATGACAGAGAGAAAAGAGATGGAGAAAGGCATAGAAAACCTATTTAATGAAGTAATAGCTGAAAACTTCCCAAGTATTGGGATAGATATGAACATCCAAGTAAAGCTCGAAGGTCCTCGATTAATAAAAGACTTAAACCTAAGGCATGAAACCATAAGAATTCTAGAAGAAAATGTTAGAAAAGCTGGGCTGGGTGCAGTGGCTCATGCCTGTAATCTTAGCACTCTGGGAGGCCAAGGTGGCGGGTCCCTCAAAGTCAGGAGTTCGAGACCAGCCTGAGCAAGAGCGAGACCCCGTCTCTACTAAAAATAGAAAGACAATTAATTGGCCAACTAAAATATACAGAAAAAATTAGCCGGGCATGGTGGCGCATGCCTATAGTCCTAGCTACTTGGGAGGCTGAGGCAGGAGGATCACCTGAGCCCAGGAGTTTTGAAGTTTCTGTGAGCTAGGCTGACACCACGGCACTCTAGCCTGGGCAACAGAGTGAGACTCT